CGCACACACACACACACACACACACACACACACACACACACACACACACACACACACACACACACACACACACACACACCCATCAGCTGCAGCAGGTTGGAGAATTTAGCACTCACTAAGAGTCCAAAAGTGGAGAGTCCTCTGGAGACCGAAGAGAAAGACACCCAGAGAGATCTGCAGGTCTTAAAGGCTGAATAACAAGGTCACACTCCCTCAGGAGGAGTCATGTTCACATCACATTTTTAAACCATTAAAGATGCATTATGTAAGAATGGAGTAAGAATGACACCCTGCGTTAAAATGTGAGTACTACAGACCATTTTCAAAACACACTAGTAACTTTCTCACTCTTGCTCTGTTTCATGGCTGTTGCCAGCTATGAATAAGCATGGATGATGAAAGAAGATGAGTCATCAATAGTAAGTTGATGAATAAATAAAACCATTTTATTGTAATATTGAGTTGTTGGTAATTGGAAAAGTAGCTTGAGATTTTTTATTACTATTTTTTCACAAATCACAGTTAGCATTGTTAGCTTTAGCCCCTAGCCTTCTTTAGCAAATAGAGTAAAAGAAAAGATGCTGTGACTTCTTAGGGGTACATCATTTCAACCACTCCTGTCCAATGTTTAGGATCTTTACAAAACGCTGCTACGTTTTGACGGCTGGTGTTGAATTACAAATACCTGGTAACTTGCTTCAGACTCAGCAAACCCGCAGGCTCACAGATGGAAACAGTGACCATGTCTGTCTTTAGCTATGTCCATCAAGCTTTTTTGAAATGCCACCTGACAACCCCCAGCCAGGTCTTGAGACATTAGACTATTTTGTGATTATTTCACTGTAAAATTCTTACACAGGGTATCTTTAGGATTCCAGTTGTGTTTTTCAGACTTGCACCATGTGATTTTCACTTAATGTAAAAACGAAAAAAAATAAACAAGTCCATGATTTTTATCCCAGTTAAAGATTTCATACCTCCTACTACACAGAAGTGTCACGTCCTGTCCTGTCTACTCTTAGGTTTTGTCTGTGTCTCTGTTAATTGCTCCCACCTGCCTCTTGTTTCCCAATCACCTTAGCTCCCGGTCCTCCTGTATTTAAACCCCGTCTGTTTTGTGTCCTTTGTGGAGTCATTGTTTCAGTGTCCAGCGTGTCTCTTAAATAAACCTGTGTTAAACGGACTCACCTGTTCGCCTTCTTGCTCTCTGCGCTTGGATCCTCCTCGCTGCCCGGCACGCACGTGACAGAATGACTCCACCAAGCAGTAATGGATCCAGCAGGGAGAATCTTCCGTGGAGTTGCTTTCTTCAGTGGTTCATGTCCGACCACCGGCCAGCTTCTCCCTCTCCGGCCCCAGCTCCGCCTCGCCGCCGCCGGCGTCCCCGGCCATCAGCCTCGGCGTTCCTCGCCGCCCTTCCGGAACCGGACGGGAGTTGGGATGGGGAGACGCTCCTGGATCGCTCCAGCTATGAGGGCACAAGGCTGGCGATCTGCCCTCCCGGAGTCGGTCCACGGCGTGGGGAAAGTCGCCGGAAGCCACCGCAGCCCTGCGCTTCAGGACGGAGCTTCGAGCATGCCACTTCCTCCTCCAAGTCTCCTCCTTCTGCTCCGAGACGTCAGTCCGTTCCTGCCCCGGTCCAAACTATCCGGACCGACTTCATTTCCTTCTCCCCTAAACCTGTTGGTGCCCTCTCAGCACATCCGAAGGGCCAAGCCACCACACCCTCGCCTGGACCAGACAGCGCTGTTGCATCTTCTCCGGTGGGCTGTCATTCCTCCTCAGTTCCTGCCAGTGTCCTCTCCATACCTCAGCTGAGCCAAAAAAAAAAACACGCCGACGCCGCCACAACCGTCCTGCTCCAGCGGTGGTCCCGATGGACGCATCGCCTCCTGTTCCAGCGGTGGTCCCGGTGGACGCATCGCCTCCTGTTCCAGCGGTGGTCCCGGTGGACGCATCGCCTCCTGTTCCAGCGGTGGTCCCGGTGGACGCATCGCCTCCTGCTCCAGCGGTGGTCCAAGGGGACGCATCGCCTCCTGCTCCAGCGGTGGTCCAAGGGGACGCATCGCCTCCTGCTCCAGCGGTGGTCCAAGGGGACGCATCGCCTCCTGCTCCAGCGGTGGTCCAAGGGGACGCATCGCCTCCTGCTCCAGCGGTGGTCCAAGGGGACGCATCGCACCTTGTCTCGGCAGAGGAGGATGCACGGGCTCTGGTCCAGCCCATCCATGGGGCCCCGGGTCAGAAGTCAACGCCTCCCGGCTCGAGCTCCGAAGCAGACGCACCCGGCTCGAGCTCCGAAGCAGACGCACCCGGCTCGAGCTCCGAAGCAGACGCACCCGGCTCGAGGTCCGAAGCAGATGCACCCGGCTCGAGCTCCGAAGCAGACGCACCCGGGACAGATGTCGACTCCTCTGAAGTCTGCTCCCAAGTCGACGTGGCCTCCCCTGATGACGGCTCGTCTGATGACGTCGCCTCCCCTGATGACGGCTCGTCTGATGACGTCGCCTCCCCTGATGTCGGCTCGTCTGATGACGTCGCCTCCCCTGATGACGGCTCGTCTGATGACGTCGCCTCCCCTGATGTCGGCTCGTCTGATGACGTCGCCTCCCCTGATGTCGGCTCGTCTGATGACGTCGCCTCCCCTGAAGTCGGCTCGTCTGATGACGTCGCCTCCCCTGATGTCGGCTCGTCTGATGACGTCGCCTCCCCTGAAGTCGGCTCGTCTGATGACGTCGCCTCCCCTGAAGTCGGCTCGTCTGATGACGTCGCCTCCCCTGAAGTCGGCTCGTCTGATGACGTCGCCTCCCCTGAAGTCGGCTCGTCTGATGACGTCGCCTCCCCTGATGTCGGCTCGTCTGATGACGTCGCCTCCCCTGATGTCGGCTCGTCTGATGACGTCGCCTCCCCTGATGTCGGCTCGTCTGATGACGTCGCCTCCCCTGATGTCGGCTCGTCTGATGACGTCGCCTCCCCTGAAGTCGGCTCGTCTGATGACGTCGCCTCCCCTGATGTCGGCTCGTCTGATGACGTCGCCTCCCCTGATGTCGGCTCGTCTGATGACGTCGCCTCCCCTGAAGTCGGCTCGTCTGATGACGTCGCCTCCCCTGATGTCGGCTGATGACGTCGCTTCCCCTGAAGTCGGCTCGTCTGATGACGTCGCCTCCCCTGAAGTCGGCTCGTCTGATGACGTCGCCTCCCCTGAAGTCGGCTCGTCTGATGACGTCGCCTCCCCTGATGTCGGCTCGTCTGATGACGTCGCCTCCCCTGATGTCGGCTGATGACGTCGCTTCCCCTGAAGTCGGCTCGTCTGATGACGTCGCCTCCCCTGAAGTCGGCTCGTCTGATGACGTCGCCTCCCCTGAAGTCGGCTCGTCTGATGACGTCGCCTCCCCTGATGTCGGCTCGTCTGATGACGTCGCCTCCCCTGATGTCGGCTCGTCTGATGACGTCGCCTCCCCTGATGTCGGCTCGTCTGATGACGTCGCCTCCCCTGATGTCGGCTCGTCTGATGACGTCGCCTCCCCTGATGTCGGCTCGTCTGATGACGTCGCCTCCCCTGAAGTCGGCTCGTCTGATGACGTCGCCTCCCCTGAAGTCGGCTCGTCTGATGACGTCGCCTCCCCTGATGTCGGCTCGTCTGATGACGTCGCCTCCCCTGATGTTGGCTCGTCCGATGACGTCGCTTGTGGTCTGACGTCTCCCCCGTCTCCAGTTCCAGTGGTGATTCTGAGGGTTGCTCCGGTCCAGCCTGCAGGGACTTTGTCGCCGGTCCAGCCTGTGTCCCCGGCCCAGCCTGCGGGGCTCCTCTGCTGCAGGCGCCGCCCCCCTAGGGTTCGTCCTCATCTCCTCATCTGTCCCAGGCGCCGCCCCCCTAGGGTTCGTCCTCGTCTCCTCATCTGTCCCAGGCGCCGGCCCCCTAGGGCCCGTCGCCTCCTCATCTGCAGCAGGCGCGGGCCTCCTGACTCTGCTGGTCCCTGCCGCCTCTCCTGTGGTCCCTCGGTTCCTCTGGGCCCTCCCTCTGGGTCCCCCTCCTCCCGCCCTGCTCCTGGTTCCTGTGGGCGTCTGGGATCCGCCCTTTGAGGGGGGGGTACTGTCACGTCCTGTCCTGTCTACTCTTAGGTTTTGTCTGTGTCTCTGTTAATTGCTCCCACCTGCCTCTTGTTTCCCAATCACCTTAGCTCCCGGTCCTCCTGTATTTAAACCCCGTCTGTTTTGTGTCCTTTGTGGAGTCATTGTTTCAGTGTCCAGCGTGTCTCTTAAATAAACCTGTGTTAAACGGACTCACCTGTTCGCCTTCTTGCTCTCTGCGCTTGGATCCTCCTCGCTGCCCGGCACGCACGTGACAAGAAGGTGTCACACTTGAGCATGTTTATCAAGGTAATTAAACAGTAAAATGCTGGAATTATTAAAAAGGATGTGCTTTCAGGAAAGTAAACCATGACTCTCCAGAATACCTCACAACTTGTCCTGTTGTCATATATTTGATATTCTATTATTTAGTAAGTTCGACTGATTTTTAAAAAATAATGTATCATTAAAGGTAAATGTATGCTCTGTTTTGTCAATGCCTTTATAAAATAACTAATTATGGGACAATGCTTCTGATGTTAAAATAAACTAACAAACATAAAAACAATAAAATGCCACAGCATTAATTTTTTGATCCAAAGCAGCAACTGGATGACTCTGATCACTGGAGGAGCTGGAAAATTGCACTTTTCTTCAAAAACTTGGACTCCATTTATGAAGGCAACAGTTCAGCAGAAGCTTCGTTTCCTAGATTCTTTTCCCGGAGGTGCAACCACCACCTGCATGATTTCATGCTGAACATGCTCAGCAGACAGCACAGCTCTTTGGGAGTCAGGTGCATGGTGGGTTTATATATAGGCAGAATGCACAGCCCTGTTCTATTTGCAAAGATTTTGAGAGTCAGATTGAGAAAGTAAAGATTATGCTGTGTGTATTATTATGCAGCAGCAGAGGCTGAGCTCTTTCTGTACCTCCTTGACTCTCTGGATCATGGGCTGCAGCCAGTCAGTGTTGACCTCACAGTGGCTGTCCAGGAAGGTCAGGATGGAGGCAGAGGCCGTGCTGGCTCCTCGCACACGGGACCGGATCAGACCTAAGGGGGAAACAGCAAACCAAAGCTTCAACACCCAAACACTCATTAACCCCTTGAACCCTAGGCCATTTTATATAGATTTGCTCGAAAAAGACATGCCCAAAATGAACTGAATATCTCTCTAGCTATACCACGAGCTATCTCATATTAATGAGATACTATGGCAATGCCGGTTCCCATATCAGGGAGGCGTGTTCAATGGATAATAGCCGAAGGGAGGGGTGAGAGTTCTGTGCATAGACATAAATACGGGCACCCAATGGGACACAATGGGGCGGTCACAGCGTCTCCACCATGTTGGATGGGCCCTTCACTCTCCAAATTCAATGCAGAGTGAGCAACTATGCCTGTTTTTGTGCAGCCTGTGGTTGCAACAACTGGCGCACTGTTGAAAACAGATCAAGTGGGATTACTAGTGACTTTTCTAGCCTACCTGATGGGATTTTATATTTTAATTTATTCTGATAAATTTTGTTTAATTATATTTAATATTTTAATAATCATGCCATACCATTTGTCTGATTTTGTGAAAAAGCTTCATAAAATGTGTTTTTTAGTTGTTCAGTAGGAGTGAATAATGCACTGGGAGTGAATGGAGACCCATCCAAGATAGAGGCCGGCGATTACAGCATCTCCAGTAGGCAGCGCCAGTCCACGAGGCATCTACGTAAATAGTTATGTGACCATGTGTGTTTAAATGCTAGCTGTTTTGAAAAATTCGGTTAGCAGCTATAACTTGTTACCTTGCTTTAAATTTTCAAAAACAAACATATTTTTTACTATTTACCACTTACAGAACAGAAATGGCCTTTTCTGCTTCTTTTTCCTTCAAACTACCACTAAATAAAGTTACGTTCAAACCAAGCACACCATAGTTTTTTTTTGTGAAATTACCAATAAGTTTGATGTGTCACATGACTCTCGTCCTATTGAAAAAACAAAAGTTGGATCCAAGATGGCTGACTTCAAAATGGACACCATGGTCACCACCCATCTTGAGTGCCACAAACAGGACTTTAAAATCACCAACCATTTCCATTTTATTAAGGTGTTTCCATATAAGTGGCCCACCCTGTATATACAAGCACATACATGTGTCATCAAAACGTGTGTGTGTGTGTGTGTGTGTGTGTGTTTATACATGTATAAATTACATGTCTCTTATAGAATGACTTCCTTGGACAAATCATTTCTAACAACGGAGACTGAGTCTGTTTCTGTGGTCGTTCAGCAGAAAGCTACAGAATAAACTGGATGTCTGGAGAAGCTTGACTCTTTCAGGGTGTATTCTGATTATTAACACATGAAGGTTTGATAAATGATTTCCAGAACATCCCGCTGCTAAAGAGAAGCACCAGACCATGATCTAACCTGCTCAGATCAGACACTTCTGCTGGTCAGATACACGATAAGATAACAACACCTTTCCTGTCTTATTAGTTCTGTCTCTGGTTTAAAAATCCGTCGAATGTTTTTACTACGTGTCATCCCTTCTGTTCTATAAGATATGCATCATAAAGACTAGACTGACTTTCTGTTGTTTGTTTTAATGACCTCTGACCCAGTTTGGCACATTAAGTGAAGGGAGACTGAAGGTGTGACACCATTAAAGGCTCAATATATTCACCCAGAAGGTCAGAATCTGGTTTAAGTTAATGCCCGTTTGTTTTAGGTCATGGACAAATAACCAATTAAAGTTTATTGTATAATTTTATTTAGGATGAGCATTCCAATAATCAGTTCATGCTTGAAACTTGAATTTTCTGCTCCGGATTTAAAGTCTGAGCCTTAAAGATAATCTGGTTTCAGTGAAGTTGGTCTAAATCCAACAAGCTATCGGTAAACAAATACTTTAGCGGCCACTGAAGGGAGAGGTAGAAGAACAAGGATTCTAGGTCTGAGGTCCAATCCTGAATTATAGTCCTTGTACAGCTATTTGCCTCTCTGTGTATCACTTTGCAACATACATCAGACGCTAGTGAAATTCATCTCCGCATTTGACCCATCCCCATGGGGAGCTGCAGCTGTGGCTGCACTTGGGAACTATTTGGTGGTTTAACCCCCAATCCAACCCCTTAAAGCTGAGCGTCACGTGAGGAGGCATTGAGTCCTACTCAGAACGGACACTCTACCACTCAGTGGCCTAGTGGTAGAGTGTCCGCCCTGAGACTGGGAGATCAGGGGTTCGACTCCTGGTCGGGTCATACCAAAGACTGAAAAAATGGGACCCAATGCCTCCCTGCTTGACACTCAGCATTAAGGGGTTGGATTGGGGGGTTAAACCACCAAATAGTTCCCGAGCGCAGCTTGTCTGCAGCTCACCGCTCCCCCAGGGGATGGGTCAAATACGGAGAACAAATTTCACCACACACCTGTGTGTGTGTGTGACGACTAAATGGGACTTTAACCTTTAATCTTTAATTGTTAAGGTCTTTGGTATGACCCGACTGGGATTTGAACCCCGATCTCCCAGTCCCAGGGGGGACACTTATGTATTTATGTATTTAGCAGACGCTTTTGTCCAAAAAGACTTACAAGTGATAATCGGCATGTTGCCCTTGAGGCTAACAACAACAACAACAACTTGACATCAATCATGGAGAGGAGGGAACAAGGAGTGGACAGTAGAGAGGGGGGACGGGTGCAGGGAGGGTGCTAGTTTAGAAGATGCTCTCTGAAGAGCAGGGTCTTCAGGAGTTTCTTGAAAATTGAAAAGGAAGCCGCTGTTCTGGTAGTGCTTGGAAGGTCATTCCACATTTGTGGAACGATGCATGAGAAGAGTCACTTTACCACTAGGCCACTCAGAAAGTGCTAATGCGAACAACTTCCTACCGTCCTTCACAATAAGAGTCACAGACATGGGCACGTACCACTAAACACCTGAAGCTTATAAAAACAGTTTGAGTTTTAGCAGCGAACAAAGATAATAAGCTATTTTATAACAGTTGTATAATAGAACAGGAGCCATGGAGAAACCATACCTTCAATCGTTTTCTAGACGTTTCTGCTCTGATTTTAAAACTTCTTCTCAGTTATTCACAGGGAAGATGTCAACATTTTCAGACCCTCTGGAAGAGATCTGAACTTTGCATTTGATTTGGTAAATGGATTCACCGTGGGGGGTTCCCAAACAACAGTGTGACAAAGAATTTTGTTAACAAAACCTCCAAAAATCAAAGGAAAGATGAATCTGGAGAGCAGGGCTCATTTGTACTGCAGTTTAAGGTTGTCTTATTTACCCCACCGACCCCCACGCTACCATACTCACCCTCTCTCCTGATGTTCCTCAGGCAGCGCACTTTAGGGATCTGAGCAAGCAGCTGGCAGTCCTCAGCTGGAGGAGAGCAGAGAAGATGGAGTTATTTCAGAGGCAACCACACGCGCGCGCGCGCACACACACACACACACACACACACACACACACACACACACACACACACACACACACACACACACACCACCCTATCACCATCTGTGGACTTAGTGAGACACACACAAGCAGACAAACACATAGTTACACAAACACACTGAGTAAACACACCTGTTTTGACCTCTTTCTGCTAAAAATTCAATAAACACACACACACACACACACACACACTACTGAAACAAAAGAGTTATGTTTTCCTGAGTAATCTAACCCATAAACCTTTTTCGATAAACAGTTTTAGAGTGCTGGTTGTAACATGCAGGCATGCACACACACACACACACACACACACACACACACACACACACACACACACACACACACACACACACACGCTCTAGTCTATCAGAGGGGACCACACAGTAAGGAACTAGTATATAATGAGTTCATTTTAAGCTTTCAGGAACAAGAGTGAAGCAGAGTAACCCATGATGGATCTCTACTTAGGAAAACCTTCCTGTTGGGGACAACCAGCTGACCTGATCAGGACACACAGACAAGACACACACACACACACACACACAAATGCCATGTTGAGTTACCATGGTGATCATGGCAGCCCAGTGAAAAACTCACCGTCCTCTCCCCAGTGGAGGAACAGTGATGGGTTTACAGATGTTTTTATCCGTGGGGACATTTTTACCACAAATGTGTCCAAACAAGAGGACAAAAGGGTTAGATGTCCGCAACATGTGAGTCACATGATCTTGTCTAGACTGAGGACAGGTCCATGTCCTTGACTGAGGACAATGTGTGAACGATTAAGGCGAACCTTAACAGGATTAGTCTCAGCCAGGACAATCCCTGCTGCAGCCGACGTTCAGCTCCTTCACTAAACAACCAAACTGTCCACTCCAGATGGAGACCACGCTGGTAGATTTTCCTGCCTTAACAAAAAATCCTGGACACCGGTTATCGGTCTCTTTATTTTCACAGCTCTGCTCATAATCACTGGCTGTTTTTCTTGTGTTTAATAAAAACTGCTGTGTCCTGTTTTCCGGATTTAAAGAATCTTTTCTATTAACAATTTCTCGAGTAAACTAAATGCATAGTTTAGTTATATTTCCTAACTTCACTGTAATATTTATTATACAATCTTGTTAAACAATGATCCCATCCAGACCTCCCTTATGAAACGGCTCAATCCCTGTTTAGTGAAACCTTTGGACCAGGCTTTAAAGGTTGCTAGAATTAAACCTTCACTTGGGAAGACTGACCTAGATCCAGGAACTCTAGCTAACTATAGACATATCAGGATAGAGTACATACTGACTGGAGGGTTCCTTTGCTCTGATCAGAGATGATGCAGAACTGGTTTTAGAGTTTTAATAAACCCAGTTCACCTTTGTCTTTATTTTCATCACAACAGCTACTCCTAATGGAGTTTTTCTGCATCTTGTGACACACACTGCTGTTTTATAAAAACCTGTGTGAGCCGCCCATTTTTAACAACTTTATGTTTAGGCTCATAATGGAAGCTTGTGTGTGACATACGTATACGAGTCTTCACTCCTGCAGAAGCAGTTTGGAGATTATGTCTTCATCCTTCACACGAAGACCAACCAGACCCAGCACATCAAGTTAAATGGCTCACACTGGAAACAGTTTCTCATGATACTCAATCCTGGGACTTAATTAGAATTAAGAAGAGGGACTTAAAATCCTGCTCAAAGTCCTTTTGGAAGAGCAGTCGCTGTGGGTGCTGCTAGTGGGACGTGAAGGCAGAGGGTGAGTGAAAGGAGGCATTAGTGAGCTAAAAGGCTCCTGCTGCTACGTCCACTGAGACAGCCCTGGTGAGAGGTGTGTCCAGCTCTGGCACCATCATATGGGTCTGAGTTCTCAGGGAATGTAGGTCAATGAACCATTCCCAGACAGAAGACAAATGGAAAATACAGAACCATGGTGGACAATGTGAAGCAGGAGTTCCTTATTCAGCTGCTGAATGCTGACAAAGGGGAAAAACTACTGAGACACGATGATCCGTAAACTCCACAGACCAGAAGCACCGTCTGACAAATACTGAGTTAGTGTCCCTCAGAGGACTCTCAGGTGAAAACATCAACATTTTCAACATTTTTAGGTTTTTTACATGAATTATTAAACTGAAGACTGTCATATCACATCTATAAGTAGTCTGATTGATGACTTTCAAAAGAAAGATGCAAAAGGACTTGTGTCTACAACGATCTGCTTTAATGTGAAAGAAAGATTTCTTCTGGTTTTCCCAATTCCTTAAATGTTTTATGTTAAACAGCAAAAATATGGAAGAAGATGCCAACATGTCCTGCAGATGTGATTCTCCTCTCTGCTGCATCAGAAACCCTGATTTTGTACACAGGAAGGAGGAGAAGGTTAACAGAGATGGAGACGCATGAGGCAGAGGAGACTAAAGCACTGGGCTGGTGTCATCTGGCTCTATAAGGGACACTGAGTGCTTTACACTTTACTGTTTGTCTGCATCCTGCAACTGCAAACACATCGTCTGTCCTGCTCCACTGTGTTCTTGTTTAAAATCCTCTTATAGCTAAATCAGGTGGATGTGGTGAGCGTTCATCACATGAACAAGAATTCTTACACCATTGACAGTTAATCAGCAGGCCCAGAGAGCAGACCAAAAACGTGTGTGTGACAGACATAAAGTGAGAATGTTTTCACCATTTTTATGACGTTTTAAGTTTGTTTAAAGGAGGATGTATACCAGGGTTTTATATCCTTCCTGAGCTGATTAAACTTCAATTTAATCAAGGTCAACATGGCATCTAATTTTCATTCAAAACAAGCCTTCCATATGCTGTCAGCAGCTGTAGGCCCTTCTGTTCTCTGTTCTTGTTGTGTTGCACATTTAAATTCTCTGTTTTATAAACGTAAACAAATCCCTGAACAGATGAAATACTGATTGATTTCCTTTCGTTGTCTTTAATTAACTCATCTTTAAGGTTATTGCTGCTCTTTGAAAACGTTTACTCTCAGTTATATTCATCCTAACATAATAAATGTTCCAAACATTATTTTTAGTCTAACCAAGCAGTAAATAATAATAATAATAATAATAATAATGCATTTAATTTATAGGCGCCTTTCAAAACCCAAGGTCACCTCACAAAACATGATAAAACTTACACACAAATAAGAATAAGATAATTTAAACAATAAAATTACTAAAAGTATGCTATAAATGTCAGAGTAAAGAGTTTGTGGGCTAGAGAGTGTAAGCCAGGTTGAACAGGTGAGTTTTGAGTTTGGATTTGAATGAGAGGAGGGAGTCAGTGTTACGGATGTCAGGAGGAAGTGAGTTCCAGAGCCGAGGAGCAGAGCGACTGAAAGCTCTGTTTCCAACGGTGGTGAGATGAGCGGGAGGAACCACAAGGTGAATGGCAGAGGAAGACCTGAGTGAGCGAGATGGGACAGCAACATGGATAAGATCGGAGAGGTAAGAAGGGGCTAGACAGTGGTTTGAAGAAGTGTTCAGGGAGTTGTTTTCTTTTTGTTTCCAAGATGGAACATTACAGTTCATTCATTAACGGCTGTCTATGAGTAAATATCTAGATTCTTTAGTGGTGGTTTGTGGCCACATGGATAAAAATTCAATCATTGATCTACATAATATCGATCTAAATGTGGGAAAAGTTCTCAGAAGTAATCTAAATGTCTCATTTGCTTCTCTCCCAGGGGAGGGGACTCACTCTTAGTTTAGCCATAGAACACCCAGGAATATCTGGTAACTAAACATCATCCCTGAGGAACTCCTCCGACCTTCCAAAAACGGTGTGGGGGTCAACAAAATGCTTTCCTGAATGGTGGAGCACCAGCCCAGAAGGCTAAACAGAAGTAAGTGGATCAGGAACAGAACACCAACATGTTGGTCCAGGAAACTCCCCAAACCTTTATCCCTCTGAGAACTTGTGGTCCATCCTCCAGAGACAGGAGGACAAACTCAAACCCAACATTGAACTTGACTAGAGGCTGATTGGCAGCAGGTAAGAGTGGATTAAAGAGGATGTCTCTGTGGAGTATTCATATCTCCATCCATTTTCAGACGCTTATCCGGAGTCGGGTCGCGGGGGCAGCAGCCTAAGCAGAGAGACTCAGACTTCCCTCTCTCCAGCCACTTGGGCCAGCTCCTCTGGGGGAATCCCAAGGCGTTCCCTGGCCAGCTGAAATACATAGTCCCTCTAGCGTGTCCTGGGTCTTCCTTTAGGTCTCCAGAATGTTGGACGTGCCTGGAAAACCTCACCAGGGAGGCTTCCAGGAGGCACCCTAACCTAACTGCCTCCTCTCAACTCTATCAACTACATGTAATGTTCATAAAAACATTCAAAACTTCTAAAATGCAGGAATTCTTCTTCAGTGACCATAAAACAATGAGAAAACAAACACTTGGGTCAATCTCCCAGAGTCATTAATTTAAACTCTTCAGTGTTTTTATGAGTCAGAGCTGATAAATCTAGTCCTCTGTCCAAGTATCAGTCAGATAACAGATCATATTGATCGTCTACATGAGCCCTCAGGTCATTTTCAGCTAGCTAGGAGCTACTCAGTAGTTACTGATGCTTGCTACATCCTACAATGCATCACAAACACGGCTACAGGACGGCGTTTGGCTCAAACCTGCAGTCTTTGTTTTGGATCAAGTTCAGATTTATTGTTCACACAATAAACAATCCAATCTGAAGTTACGGAGTTTAACCGCTCTACACACATCGCCCACAGCTGTTTTAACCAGCCTGGAGCAGTCAGCTAACACTTACGATCAGAGCTGAAGTCGTCTATCAGGATAATTTCTTGAATGAGAGGCGGAGGACTACGTATCAGAACACTGAAAGGAAAAGGAGAAAAATGAGATCCAGCCTAAAAAACAAGTTCACGTCATTGTTCCTGCATGTTCCCATCGTTACCTCTTCACAGTGCGAAGGAGAGTAGAGCGAGCTTCGTTGTGGAAGGTGATGATGATGCTCGTGGAGGGAAGGTCTGAGTCGTAGGTCAGAGATGCACATCTACACAAAACAGGAGAAGAAAACAGTTAGGTCAACGTGTTTCCATGTGTCGAATGTTCGGTCACAAAATGTGGAAGTTGAGAAGATATTTATGCAGCTGTGATTAGCAGCAGAGGCCTCTGGAGTCGACTCAGCGTTGCTGCTTTAGTGATTTGAAAATAGCTTGTTGCCCAGCAACAATTTCACATATTTTATGACCCTCAGCTTTTCTCTGCTGCTGGGAGCCTGAAGGCCAGGTCAGAGAACCGAGCTGAAGCATCACTCACCACAAAAATCTTAAACACATTTTATTTTAATGCAACCAACAAAATAAACATATTATGTCATATTTGTTTCCAAAGTTTTCCAAAAACAATAAACAACTAAATATGAAGCTGCTCTCCTTCCATTTTTGGTTATTTTATAAAATACAGAAAATGTTTCTTTTTACCTTGCTGACGTTTCGTTTGCGGCTGCAAACTTCCTCAGAGCTGACGCTGATGGTGGCGTCACTTCCTTCTCCGTTTATCCCATAGGTTTATCCGCGGACAGCAGAGGACATTGTCGCCCTCTGCTGTCCTCTCTCCCTTCTCTGATGAAGCAGTCCCATGCACGATCCAATGAGTAAACTCCATCATCTCTGTTCATGGTCCCACATCCACGTCTCCTTATCTCTATAGCGTCCTTTATCCATCTTTTGTACTTCTGTTGTTCGGTGTTATGATCCTTGTGTTGTCCCAGTCCATTACATGGTTTTCTCTTGTGCAGTGATCTGTTACGGCTGACTTCTTTATTGTACTTTCTGCTTCTTCTTTTGCTGCTTCCTAAACGGAGTAGGAAATGGTGCCACCATCAGCGTCAGCTCTGAAGAAGTTTGCAGCCGCAAACGAAACTGTCAGCAAGCAAGGGAAAGAGAGAGAAACCTTTTCTGTGTTTTAAAAAAGAACCAAAAATGGAATTAGAAATCAGACACAGCAAGAACGTACCAAAGATGAAGCTGCTCTGCTACACTGGACCCAAAAATGTTTCTGGGTCACATCATTCAGCACCGTTAAGCTGCTGATGCTCAACGAGAGGCAGACAAGACCAGCTTAGACCAGCTTTCCTGGACTTTACCTGGAGCTCAAAAAGAGCTCGCCTGAAGTTAATAAGGCTCTCACCTGGAGCTCATCATCAGGGACTCAAATCAAGAAAAGGACATGAGTACCAAGCAAACCAGATGTATCATCTAACTGCACTCATGGGTCCAAACACATTTTCTAATTACATCCTGATCAGCAATACCAGCCTCATCCCCTTGATTATAGATGTGGTGAGAAAATTTAAGAGTAAAAAATCCATGGATTGTGATGCCTTGATACAGTATGTCATTAGTTAAAGAAGTTCTTCATAGTATCCTTCAACTGTTAACTTATATTTGTAACAAATCATTTCATACCGGAATTTTTCCAGATAAAATGAAAATTGCCAAAGTGATCCCATTATATAAAAATGAAGATAAACAGGTTGTGTCAAATTATAGACCAGTATCTTTGCTGCCTACATTTTCAAAGATTCTTGAAAAACTATTTGAAAAATATGATTTATTGAATGACCATCAGTATGAGTTCAGAAGAAATCGCTCAACATCTCTAGCAGTGATGGAATTTATTGAAAATATTGCAACAATTGTGGATAAAAAACAGATTGGAATAGGTGTGTTCACTGATGTACGCAAAGCCTTCGATACGATAGATCATTCTTTACTGTTACAGAAATGTGAAAGATTTGGTTTAAGAGGTGTTGTACAACTTTGGTTAAATAGTTACTTGGAAAGAAGGTTCCAATATGTGAGTATTAATAATATGAAATCTAAACTTAGAAAAGTAACTTGTGGAGTTCCGCAAGGATCGGTGTTGGGACCAAAGCTATTTTTACTTTATATAAATGATATTTGTACAGCTAGTGATATTTTAAAATATGTGATGTTTGCTGATGATACAAACTTATTTTGTTCTGGAGATAACATAAAGGAATTACTGAAAACAGTGGAAATAGAATTGATGAAGTTAAATAGATGGTTTGTATTTAATAAACTATCACTGAATGAAAGTAAAACAAAATTTATGTTGTTTGGAGGTATTAAGAATAATATTGAAGTAAAATTAAATCTAAATAATGTTGAAATTGAAAGAGTATATGAGACTAAATTTTTAGGAGTAATAATTGATGATAAACTTTGTTGGAAGTCTCACATAGATCATGTGAAACGGAAATTATCTAAGTCTATTTCTATTCTTTACAAAACAAGAGATTTATTGCACAAGAGTTGCCTTTATTTACTGTACACTTCCCTTTGCTTGCCTTATATGAGTTATTGTGTGGAAATTTGGGGAAAAAACATACAAAACATATCTGGATTAAATTTTTAAATTGCAAAAAAGAGCTATTAGAATAATAAATAAAGCTGGATATAGGGAGTCCACAAACCAATTTTTTGTAAGATCAGCTGTTAAAATTTAAGGACATTATATATCTTAAAACTTTAGAAATGATGTATAGAGTGGCGAAAAAGAATGTTCCAATTTGTATTTTAAGTATGTTTAAATTAAGAGATGGAAAATATGATTTGAGGGGGTCTTACATGTTTGAAATACCTAAAGTGAGAACTAATGCGAAGTATAGATGTGTGTTGGTTTTGGGAGTGAAGTTATGGAATGGACTTAATGATGAACTGAAGATGTGTTATTCTTTGTCATTTTTCAAGAAAATTTAAAAAATTTGCATCTTCCAAAGTTATAGAAACTTAGTTTGATGTCTAACCTTGTGTTGATTTGATTTCTTGATTTATCATTGTTTTTCTTTAAATGTTATGCATCTTAGCTATCAGCCTTGGTTGAGGATTTGATTATCTCTGTGGGAGCTAAAGATAGGCTAATTATAAGCCACTAGGCTTCAACCTATTCCTTTTTTTAGTTGCTTGATTACTTTTATGTAAAATTGATAAATTGTTGTTGTTGACCGAATAAAAATATCTATCTATCTATCTATCTATCTATCTATCTATCTATCTATCTATCTATCTATCTATCTATCTATCTATCTATCTATCTATCTATCTATCTATCTATCTATCTATCTATCTATCTATCTATCTATCTATCTATCTATCTATCTATCATCTATTTGAATATGCAAATAGATGCTAATGCTAAACCTTCAATCTCAATGAAAAACTTTGAAACCAGAGTCTCTCACTTCATTAATAGTGATGCGATGAAGATGGAATGACGTTTTTGACGCAGATTTAAAGCAGAAATCTGGAGATTTATATCCAATTGCACCATCTAGAGGCTGAAAAATGTTGTGCACCTTCAACCATTTTCACTACATCCGTGATTATGGCCGAAAGCAACGCCTCTCGTTCCTGAACGCACACCATTAGCCAGCTAACAAACCTAAAATATAATGTTTTACAATTATTTATCACGCGTTATGTTGTTTATTCGTATATTTTTAAAGACTTACGTGCTCACAAGATAGGTTGACAACTGCATCAGTCTAAGTGCATCCACAAATGCTCGTGCACGCTCTAAGATTGACATCTATACGTTAGCAGATGTCTAACACTATTGGCTAATGTTGAGCTGCACTCAATTCAATTTGCATGGGGCTCTACGGGACGGGGGCACAGGTTTAGCAAAAAATAAACTAAATCACAGTGAAAGGCATGAATTTCTATTTAACGGCATTCTAAATAAATCACACATAATTCCTGAAAGGTGGAAAACTCTGGATTGTTGCTTTAAGTAAATTTACATCCCACACAGTTCCAGCTTGGCTGTTGAGTCATACATGAAACCGGGATCCACCACCACCATAATGCTTTACACCACCCAAGGGTGCTTTACATCTAAAAGTGGACAAACATGTAGAGCATAAAAACTGTATTAATGCACATATATTGTTGTTCTAACTTCTTATTAAACTTATTGTAACACACAGCTGTCCCGTTCCGAACCACAGCCTGCTCTACCTCGATCAGAGTTGTGTCACTGCTAATGGCTCGTGCAAGCACCATCAGAGTGCAACTCAGATCATCAGACAGATTCTTCTATCCAACTCTAAATCCATTTGCAGCCCGCAGAAGATTAGTCTCTGATCCTCTGGTGGAAGTCAACAACACAAAGCTTAAGCTCTGCTCACCTGTAGTGTCGAGTGTCCCGGATGGCTCGCTCGCTGCCCAGACGGTCGCTCTCCTGCAGATTAAAGGCGTGCTCCCTGTAAGGGTCATCTCCTGGTTTGAGCTGCCTGGCTGACAGGTAGGCCTTCTCATCGAAGCTGCCCAGCAGCTGCCTCTGCTGCTCAGTCCGAGGAGGCGGAGTCACCTGGAGATGACACAGAAGAGTTTCAGGATAGACGATGGGCTCAGATAGGAGCAATGCTCAAATAATAAGGATTATAATGATAATAATAGTAAGCACATTTTAAAACTAATGTTACAAGGTGCTACACAGCACGCCTGTTATCAAATATTTGGTAAAATAACATGACATTAAAAAGATAATAAACAGGAAAAGTAAAGTCAAACTAGAGGTCAAAATAAAGGTTAGCAAAGATACTTTTATAGGAATTAGTCTTTTTAAGAGGGATTTAAAAGAGGGTAAGGATGCAGTCCATTTAATCTCCTCAGGAAGGTTATTCAGAGAGGCAGGATGTTAACGGGAAAATCGTGGTATCCAGGACTTCAGGATGGCTATCCGAGCCCTGCTTAAGGATCTGAAGTTATATCAAGAGAGTAGAAAATAAAGATTTCTGTTATATAATGTAATTAAGTTTAAGACCTAACCAGAACTTACAGATACAGTGGATGAATTGGGCATGACCTATTAGAGTTTGAATGACTTTGGTCAATAAGGAAATTGTGGCTATCTATCACAATTTCTTAGTGAGTTGTGAAATTGTTGAATTATTTCTTCTCCTCAGACAAAAACACACCTTGCTGGAATCAGCTCATCAAAACACAATGGTTAAGGTGTATGAGGTCCTGGGTTTCAGCGCCATTATTGTGAAGGACTGTAGAAAGCTAGGCCTGGCCAGACTTCTCCTCTGTTTAATTCTGCACAGAGAAAGGGTCTGGGAACGCTCCTATTCAAATAACCCCACCCCGTGAGAATTCTAACCGAGCCAATCAGCGCTGAGTATCGTACGTCACACACCATAACGCCGAGTTTGTCTGTCATAAACATGGTGACTGAAGTGGAGTTCGCTGCGGCTCTTTCCTTTGTTCTAAATGATTTGAACATGTCTTTAAAACCACAACAAGTACAAACGCTAAAAGCCTTTTTTCTAAACAAAGATGTTTGCGCTGTCGCCAGACTCCAGCGTTGCCGACTTCACACACAGCGATGCTCAGTTTCTCATTAACAACGAAGACAGCGGTGGAGTTCGCTGCGGCTCTTTCCTTTGTTCTAAATGACTCAGATATCTTTAAAACCACAAATAGAAGCGCGAAAAGCATTTCTTCTAAAAAAAAATAAGACATTTGCGCTGTTACCAGACGCAATTTTTTTTACTACGACTAGAAATCTACCGCGTCGTGCGGTACAGTCGGGATTTCCTTCCTTTATCTGATTGGTAATTTTTGAGTCTTCTAGTCCCACCCCTCAAGTGCCTCTGCCTGTGAGTTACCAGACTCATTCTCTGTGCAGAATTAAACAGAGGACGAGTCTGGCAGGCCAGGCTAGAAGAAAGCTCCTTTCTTGTCTGGATCCTCTCCAGCTAGCGGACCTTAACTTCCTGGTTCTTTATTTCCAGGGGAGGAAGGCCGGTAACACTCAGTTCCTGATTTTTCACTTCCAAAAATTACGAGTATTCAGTAGGTTGGTTTGAAATTGGTTTATATAGAAAAAGCATAGAAAATTGTGTGAACAAGACAATGCGACCCCCTGAAGTTATCCCTCATGGTCAGACGTCAAAAATCCTCAGAGACATTAGTTTTAATCCCGAGCTCGGCCCTCCCCATTTGGTGACAGGCACTTTTCTACTGGATCAGTATGGAAATGTGTCAAGATCTGTGTGCATCGCAAATATCTTGCTAAATGAACAAGATGTGAAAATCATAAGTGCTGCTGTATCTAGTCTGATTTTGTAAAGAACAGACACTCTGGCATACTTTCTGTACTGGACAGATAAACAGTGGCCTTAGCTGTGCCCCAGATCAAATAAATTATCCACCAGGAGGTCACCACATGGTTCGGTTTTGACCTGCTGCCACTTTCCTAGTTTTCCATCCTCGTGTTGTTGGACATTGTCAATGAATATTTTCAGAAATATTAACTTTGAACCCCACTGAAACACAGGTTTGAATAGCTGCAGGTCCTTACTGAGAAAAAGTAAAAAAAAAAAAAAAAAAAAAAAATTTTTAGAATCAATTAAAAAATGTTCCAGAAATTAGTGTAGAGATGATAAAACAGGAGTAAAGTGCACTTGTGTCATGTTTGGAGGAAGGTACTTAACCCAAGACATGCAGAATGCAACACGGACCAAGAACGGGGGTAAAAAATGATTTATTTATAACGAAGGAACTGAGGATGCACAGAAAAGTCTGTGGTAGGTACTGCTACGACAGCTCAGCGTCTGGAAGAGGGAGAACATAGGTGAGGATTGATTCTGATTCAGAGGTCCGTTATAGGCAGAGGTGTTTGGCAGAACTTACTGGGGGACGTGAGTTTGCTGGCTGGAGGCGGGAGCAGGTTGAGAGCTGGGGAAGCGCAGGAGAGGGAGCATAGGTGGAGGAAAGCGGGGCGTCCCGGTGGATGGGGCACCGGGTTGAGATGAGAGAGGAGGGTTATGGAGATTGGTGATATGGTCCACATGCTGAGTATTCAAATCCTGGAGTCAGAGGTAGGTGTCCAAAGGCAAGCGACCAGAGAACAAGCGGGAATCCTGAAGAAGGGAAGTAATCCACAATAAGCTCCAGGTGGTAGCAAAAGTAAAAAAATTTCAAAAAATACCTAGAGCAAAAATATTAAAGCACAAGAATCCTAGAGATACAAAAGGTTAACGCAAGTGGCTGGGTACTACCAAGCTGAGGCATTCTTCCGGCGTTGAATTGTGTCCTCCATCCACCTTAAATAGGAAAACATCCCGCTGATTGCTGATCAGGAACAGCTGGGGCACTCCCTTTCCTGGCAAGAGACTCAAAGATGGTTAGGCTCACAACCTGCTCCCACCTCCAGCCAGCAAACTCACGTCCCACAGTAAGTTCTGCTGAACACCTCTGCCTATAACGGACCTCTGAATCAGAATCAATCCTCACCTATGTTCTCCCTCTTCCAGACGCTGAGCTGTCATAGCAGTACCTACCACAGACTTTTCTGTGCATCCTCAGTTCCTTCGTTATAAATAAATCATTTGTTACCCCCATTCTTGGTCCGTGTTGCATTCTGCATGTCATGGGTTACGTACCTTCCTCCAAACATGACAGACCTTAAATGAGGGTAGGAACGTAGATCGGCCGATGATCACCTTCTGACTCAGCGGGTACAACGCCAGCATCACTGCAAACGCAGCACCAATCTTGGTCTCATTCATAAACAAGACCCAGAGATACTTAAACTCGTCCACTAGAGGCAGGACCTTGTCCCTTACCTGGACAAGGCATTCTCCCCTTATCTGTTTCAAGACAATGGTCTCGATATATCTAAAATACCGTAAAATATTATATCACAGGGTCAGAAAAAAATCGTAGCAAGTGAGGACCAGCAACTTGTGGTGTTCCACAGGGCTGTGTCTTTGGTCAGATTTAGGTCACGTTTACCTGCAGCATCAATGGAGCCTTAGAGCCAGTCAAACCATTCAGAGATTACCACAGTGACTCATTCACACATGGGAAATAAACACAGGTATAGAGTCGACACAAGTCTCACTCTCTAGCACAACTTCTATCAGAAAAACACATCTGTCATTACTTAGAGGTGACTTTGTTCAACTTCCACAGAGGAAGGATGACATAAAAGCCTCTTGGCAAACTCCACACATTTGCAGCAATGGTTATTAATGTGCACTCTCATGCAATACGTCAATCAATCAATTCCTTTGAGCTTTAATTCAGTATGAATAACTTTATGAGCCAAGAATGTAAATGTTAGCTCCTCAGTCAGGTCACCGTGTCACCGATAACAAGGCAACCATCACAATCAGAATACAGAGTCAACAAATCCCCAGTAACAAAAGGATTTCCCCCTTAAGGAGCTTTAGCTGTCTCTGCCAGGCCAGATGAGTGGGAGGTTAAAACAGCTGATGAATACTTAAAGAGAGACAAGAGCCGCCGTCACCAAAAGGAGACGCCGCATTATATCCAAACGCTTTATTACAGGCTGGTCAAGGATTAAGAGGAATATCCTGGAGAGGCAGAACTGAGACTACGGCTGGGCAATCAAACAATATTTTATCAAGGAAACAAAAGAAGATAATGACTATTAACGCTTTAAAATTAGATAAAAGAAGGACAGAGAGAGAGAGTAAGACAGGATACGGAGGGCTGAGATGGAGACCCACCATGTTTAACACTAAATACAGCATTTATAGCAGAACAACTTCTAAAATACACTTGTGATTTCACACAACAGCTTTTCAGTGAGTTGTATCAACCAGAAGCCCAAATAAATCAGCTTGGAGGTAAGCACAGAGCGGAAGTGAGTTAGCCTCCTGAACATCAGTCAAACAGGACACAGTTATCACCTAAAACCAAGGTTCAACAATATTTTATATGCAATAAATATGAAATATAGAATTTTTAATAAATATTTAAAATGTACTTTAAAAAAACACTTAGCTGAGACTTCATGATTTACACAGTTATTAACCACCGAACAGAAACCCTTCATTAGTTGTTTTATTGACTCAAACTTGAACATTTTCATGCTATTTAAGAGGTTTTTCATTCAGTTGTTCCTTATTAAACCAAACGTTGCTTTTCAGGAAAAAAAGAAGGGAGAAAAGTGGAATTCTGAACCAAAAAAAAAAATTCTGTTATCTTGGAACAAATTTGGTGGTGAGCTTCTTGAGCAGCCAGTTTGTATTCCAACGAATGTTTGCTTAGAAACTATTTAGTAATAATTACTTAAATCCATCCAAACAAAAAAAATCTTGTGATTTCTAAGAAAACAGACAGCTCCAGCTCAAACTGGACCAACAATCAACATTTAGTTAAGCGTGAACCATGGAGTTTTTAACTTTTAGTAGAACACAAACTAGTGGTACAGAGAAGAGCAGCTTTCCAAACTATTTCTCCAACATAATGCTGATCCAGACTGTAAACGTTTAGGAGAGAATTTACAACTGTAATAACGGGTTATTCCTCTTTTGGCTTATCTATTTGCTTAATGTTTTTGTGAATTGTTTTACCACCACATAAGTACTGGGATATTTGAGTCATTACTGGGGGAGTATCTGCCATAGCAGGCAAAATCTTTAACTCCCATCATTCTTTGCAGGAATGCGTATCACCCACTGCTGAGGTCATCTTATGTTGAGTTTTATTTGTTTCGGTTTAATCCTGAAAATAAGGCTCTGACCTGTTAAAACTCTGAGCTTTGTGACTAACCAAAGAACTAGTGGTGGATTTTCATGGATGCAGCTGCTTTATTAATATATACAGTAGCACATGATGTCATAGAAGCAATTCAATAGACACAGACCCTCTACTTTGGGTCTGGTGAACTTCCAGGGAACAGACGCTGAGGTAGTGGAGTTCCTGGGTGTTCACCTGAACAACAAACTGGACTGGAGTCACAACGCTGATACTCTTTTCAAGAGGCATCAGAGCAGATTTTACCTGCTGAGGAGACTGAGGGTCACTCCTAAGACCTTCTTTGGCTCAATGGTGGCATCAACCGTTTTTATGGTGTGGTCTGTTGGGGGAGGAGCTTATCTGTGGCTGTGAGACAGAGACTATAAGCATATCACGAAGGCTAGCTCTGTTCATGTCCCTTTGATGCAGTGCAGGAGGTGGGAGACAGAAGGACTCTAGCAAATGTAACATCACTATTGGACAGTGTCTTCCATCCCATGCATGGAGCTGTTGTGGAGCTGGAGAGCTCCTTTAGTGACAGCCTGCTGCATCCTTCATGAAAAGTTATCGCAGGTCCTTCCTCCCAGCAGCTGTTAGGATTTATAACCACCGCTGTTCCCAGAAACCCAGTAGATAAGTACTTTTGCATTTCTTGATTCCTGCTGTTTTTGTGATTTGCGTCCGCACACTCTAATTATTGCATTTGCACTTTTGCCATTCATGTTTATCATTCCATGTCCACAACTTATTTCTATATTTCTTATATTTAATCTCTAAAATGTGTATATTCAGTTTTTTAACTTTTGAATACTTTAGAAAAATTCTAATAGATTTTTTGAGTTTTTTTGTATTCCTACCATTTAAAGAGTAAGTTACCCCCTACCAGGGTCTTACTTCACTCCAACTTACTGTTTGAAAAAATGCAACAAATGCTGTTGCCTGACAGACCAAGAGGAGGGAGCCACTAACAAATACACACACAGGCTCACAACGGCATTGGGACATCATATGGTACCAGCTCACGTCATAGGGTGTTTCTTAGCCAATAGGGATGGCAGATTAAAATTCAAATGCAGTGTAGAGTTTTTACCTGGCAGAATTTTTAAATTTTAGCTAAGATGCACTAAAGTGTCAAATAATTGACTACACGTGTCTACAGACACTCGTTTATATTAGCAAAAAAAAGTGATTTGGGGTGACTTGTTCTTTAAATTCTGATTACTCGGATTGTCTACTTTTTACTCTATTTTGCTTCTGTAGTGAATAAGATGGCTAGTGTTAAGCCCGGGGCACACAGGAGGCAGACGCACTGCGCCTCGTCGTGCCCGTGCTTTTGAGAAGTCAAATGGTCGTGCTGCGCCGCGCTTCTTGGAAAGTCGCACGATAGTCACAACATCACATGGGACTTGAAAACAGGAAGCAGGAAGTGACTCTATTTTTTATACGTGATCAGACTTGCCACCGTGTGTTGTGAGACTCATTAAAAACGGGTAAGTACGCTATTCAGTAGAATATTTTAAGATCAATAGTGGTTTAAAGTTATCAACACTGCAGCTGGGTTTGTGCCGTAAAGCCGTTCCGAGTCGTGATGTCTGTTTTAAAGTACTCCACAATGATGTAAAATTGAGATACGGCTAACGTTTATTTTCACTACACAGGGAGCACCGCGCTGCACCCCAGAAGCGACACACCGAGGCGCTCCCTGTGTGGCCACTCTCATTAACTATAAAGGCTTCTATTCAAAATGATGGCAGATGCCACAACGCGCCGCGTCTGCCTCCAGTGTGCTCCTGGCTTTATGCCAAAATTTCCCACCGAGGGACAATAGAGATTTTTTTATTCTATTCTATTCTAACATCAGCTTATTTAATGGTATCTAGAACTGATGGAGTTGTAGCTGTTCTTATGTTAGCTACTGATATGATTTACATTTCCAGATGTTATTATTTTATATGAAGAATTTCACGACTACAGAAACATTGTTGACACAAACGTCTCCCAGGTTGACCCGGACTCTCTGGAGGTATCATGTAACTAAGCTGGTCTGGGAGCGCCTCGAGTCCCTCTGGAGGAGCTGGTGGAGGAGTTCATTTAAAGGTACCTGATCCGATTGTTGGTAAGATTATGAAACAACCTTTCCTCATAGAGAAAATGTAGAATTGCTGACTTACACCTGGCTCAGAAACTACGTATACTCAAGTATCATGTTTCTAATTTAATGCTTTACTTTAAATAGAAATGTTATTTCAATTATTTAACTTCTAAAATTCAAATTATTTTTGTTGTTTTCAGATTAAACCAAGTTTATGTTAAACTTCTTCCCTCTAATGGGTTTTGTCACACGTTTTTTCTGAGTAAAAGTTCCCAAACATGATCATCATCAGCAGATGTGATCCAGGTCCTCTTGTCAAGTCCTAACGTGGTCTTATCCAACCCTAAAAACCAACAAAAGCACAAAACCCAGCAGCCTGATCGGGGTCCACGCAGCGACTGATCAGAGAATAAATGTTACACGGTGACGGGTTTGTTGATAAGAAGCACGGAGGTGGGCTGAAGTCATTTGTTTGCAACGTGGTTAGATCAGAGTTCGGGAAAAGGAATTTGAAAAAGTTCTCATGTGTTCCTGTGAAGTTAGACACAGTGTTGAGGAATTAGAAGAAAAATGGAGGAGCGATGTGGAACCAGCAGTAACAGATGATGTCATCACTGTAGCTAATGAGTGTAGGGCAGAGAGATGGAGGAGATCCACAGACGAGGGCTCAGATCCAGGAAGAGACGGAGGTAAGGAAAACAAACAGAAGGACTGACAGAAACACACTGAGCTGATGAAACCTCAGGGGAGGAAAAGAAAGTCATGGATGGAGGGAAGAAGGAGGAGGAACGGGTCAGCACAAGGATGTGGTGTCCATATATCCAGCAGGCATCGGGTCAGTCCACCAAAACAAACAACGAGGACATCTCAGCTGGGTGAGGGGTCAGTGATCCCGCGGACAAACCCACTATTACAAAACACGCCGCAGGAGTGCCTGTTTAACAGTGTTCAGCCTGTGGACGTCTCCGAAAGTCAAACTAGGTCCAGATCTGATTTATCCAATCACAGTCACTCAGTCATGTCATACAGGAGGGGACGGTCAGGAACCCTGGAACCCTGCAGGGACCCGACCACAGCTCAGACTGAGATTATTCATCTTCTACTGTGTGAAAATCTAACTATGGAGGGCAGATTACAAAACATAACAACTCTTTACATCAACATAACCGAATCTAAATACAAAAAAAGTTCCTCCCAATAATTAAAGTCCCACTGTTAGGAGGATCTAAATGTCAGAACCCAGACAGGAACATGAATAAGGGATCCAAACCCACATTTACGACTTTAGATCTGTTGTTAAAGACAGCAGGAATGGGATTAAATAACAGCCAATCATAGCAAACATCTAAATAATACAGCAGGGAACCAAAGCACAGGTCAGCTCAAGGGTCAGAGGTCAACCTCACAGCTATGGGAATCCACTGGTTAGCTAAATATACATTTATCTGATTATATTTGTATTCATGATTTAGCATATAGGAAAAGCAGCTGATAATAAACAGATCCATGTTAGGAGGAGCTAGAAGTGGACACAGATTTATGACTTATAACCCCCTAAATGAGCCCAAATAACTGTTAGGAAGCTTTTATCTCCTTCTGTTCGACCGGATCTTCTAATCTCAGCTGGGGTTCTGTCTGAATGTTTCTGTTCGGCAGACTGAGATGGGCCTAAGGATCCCGACCCGAACCCTTTGTTTTATCCACTTGCGCTCCTGGAGGGTAACTTCTCCGGTTCGGGTTCGGGAGGATGTGATCTGGCTGTGACATCCAGCTGAGCTGCACCATCAGTCCAAGTTTCATGCACACAGGCGTGCACCGCACGCACACACACGCACGCACGCTCCAGCCTCCAGCCACAGAACCACCGAACCGCTCACTCACAATCAGCGGGATGGTCCGCTCGTCTCGGTGGATCTCCAGCCGACCGGGGACCCCCTTCTGTCCGTGGTTCCGGACGCGGGTCTGCGCCGCCACCGACGGAACAGACTGGGGCTTCTGGTCCTGCCACAGGTAATAAAACGTTCCCAAGATCCACGCGACTGTCAGAATGGCGATGGCGTTGGCCCGAATCCTGCGCATGGTGAGCCCATAAGGAGGCCACCGGAGGCGAGCCCGGCTGGTTCTGGTCCGGTACGCGGCGAGAGGTGATGAGTCGGACCGCAGAGCAGACAGACAGCCAGAGAGCAGCTCTTCTTCAGCCGGAGATCTGCCTCTCTGCTGGGATCAGCGCACTGACGGAACCGCGGTCCTAGCGCCGATACTTCACCCCCCACCCCACCCGACGCGCGCGCACGTTGTAAACCCACAGCTGCTGCAGAACCCACCTCCAGCTGCGAGAGAACACACGCACGCGCACTAGGACCAGGGCCAGATTAACACTTCGTTGTACCCTGGGCAACAATATTCAAGGGCTCCATCATCACGACCCAAGGATCACCATAATGTGGTCACATACAGAATATTTTACTGTAATATGCAGTAAATATACTCAATACTTGAATGCCTGACATCATGTAACCTGCTCAGGGTAACCTTTGACCCACCTCGTGTGGACTGACCAATGAGGAGAGGGTCTTAACTTGAGGCCCTCTCTTCATTGGTCAGTCTGCATGAGACTGACTCTCAACTGACATTCAGTCATAGGCAGCGAAGCGTCTCTGTGCAGTGCAAAAGCCCGGGTGGACAGTTTGTTTAACATAGGGTGATCATATTTCCATTTCCACACAAGAGGACAGGGGATCTGTGCCTATGACATCACACTATGGCAACGCCACACAAACCATGTTGGGACCCATGTTTTGTAAGAACTAAATTAATATCAGATTCTGCCAATAAAAGGGCTCTAAAACAATTCATATGTAAATATTTAGCATATTTATTACAAAATCTCATTTTTCTGCTTTAGTGCTGCAACAAGGTTTTATTAATAATAAATCATTATACCTTTTGTTTTACTACAGCATCGGTAAGCTTCCTGTGCACAGATTATTAAGGATGCTTGTTTCAGCTGTGAGATTAGACGATAGGATCAATGAAAAAATAAGTTGTCACACACTCCATGGAAACTTTCAGAGAATCCACAAATAGTGGCTTTCAAATGGTTTTGTTACTTTTTGTAAGTTAGAAAAGAAGCAGATGAGACAGCATGTCTGATAATTTAGTTTTTCATCTGATAATATTAGAACATGTCAGTAACGTCTGAGGGGTTTTTATAAACACTGTATAACTAACACTGCTGGAGAGGGTATGAATTACACAGAGGCTTCTGGGGAGCCCAGTTATGGGGGGGGGGTCATTTTGCCTTGGCCCCCAAAATGCCTTGAAACGGCCCTGGGTGTGTGACTGAGTTTTGAAGGTGATCTGAATTGTATCAGATGTATAAATATTACATGTGTATAACTTGTTACATGTGTATAAATATTACATGTGTATAACTTGTTGTTTTATCCATTCAGTTGTTACCAGTTTGGGGGTGAAACTTGATGTAGGACTTAAATTTGATGCTCACATCAATTCTGTGATCCGGTCCAGTTTCTTTCACCTGAGACGCCTTGCTAAAATCAAGCATATGCTGTCGAGAGCCCACCTGGAGCGGGTACGGCATGCCTTTGTAATTTCTCGTCTTGACTACTGCAACTCTCTCTACGCAGGGTTGTGTCAGTCAACACTGCGTCGCCTACAGGTTGTGCAGAACAGCGCTGCCAGGTTCCTGACTGGGACCAGGAAACGGGACCACATCAGTCCAGTTCTGGCCTCCCTGCACTGGCTTCCGATTTCCTATCGCTCACAATTCAAAATACTCGTCTTTGTTTATCATTTCTTCCAGGGTGGTGCTCCCCCCTATCTGGCCACTCTCCTGAACAGACATTCCCCATCACGCGCTCTGCGCTCCTCTGACCAAGGCCTGCTCGCTGTCCCTCGGTCTAGGTGTCGTACCCGTGGGGACCGGGCTTTCTCAGTCCTAGCACCGTTACTCTGGAACCAGTTGCCACCCTCAGTTAGGCTGTCCCCTTCTCTGCCAGTCTTTAAGAATCACCTGAAAACACACCTCCTCCGCTTGGCGTTTCCAGAACATGTTTGATTATGGCCCTCTATTATGTTGAATCCATTCCACAGTTTTCATTGGTACACTCAATCCATCCACTCAATCCAATTGTGTTTCACACATTTGTATTTTACCGGAATGTTTCATCTATCTTGTTATTTCCATTTTGTATTTTGTAATTTGTATTTTGTAATTTGTATTTTGTAATTTGTATTTTGTAATTTGAATTTCTTTTATTGTTGATTTATTCAGTATAATTACTTACAACTGTACCATGTTCAGCGCTTTGGGCTTCCTGACAGGGTTGCGGAAGGCGCTTTATAAATAAAGCTTTGATTGATTGATTGATTGATTGACAAGTAAAAACGTGTGGAGATAAATCTACCTACATTTTTCAACACTTTGTTTTGTTTTCTTGTTTTTATTGAACTGTTTTCCTGTCCTGTCTGTCTCTCATCTTCCTGCATCTCCTCTAAACTTTCCAGAAAAACTGCTGCCTGGATTCTTACTTTTTCGCCTCATCAGCTACTTTTGAGCAGATCAAAGGGATCTCCTGACCACAAAGCGGAGAGGCGTTTCGATGCTGCGTCAGTGAGGTGAAATCACCGCAGCACAGGTGATGAGCTCCGCAGTAGCAGAGCGCTTCAGGCACAGATAAGACAGAAAATAGAGAACATGTGCAGACATGAACGATCGTGTGCTAATTATAGTTTTTTGGTTGCGCCACTCTGAAAATGGACTGTACGCTGGAAGCAGCAGCCTGGATCGCTGCGCAACAACGATTAGCGCTCTGCTGCTCTCTCTGCTCTCTTCTCAGAAGAGTCCATAAATGATGTAATATAGGTAGAAAACTTTTTTCCGGCTCCCCTGGATGTGTAGGATATACAGCTCCCCCATAATTCGATCCCTGCTCCTGGATGAAAAACTGGACATTTTCATCTATACAAGAACCCCCAGCCCAGACGCCCCGGACAGAGAGTGAAAAGTGGACATGTCCGGGGAAAACAGGACGTACGGTCACCCTAGTTTAATATAAAGCAGGAGATTACAGATACAGTATTTTGCTGCCCTGGGCCCTTCAGAGTTTGTGGGCCCTGGGCAATTGCCCAGTTGCCCATATGGTTAATCCGGCCTTGACCACGACTGTCATCTGCAGGCGCACAGCGATCCGCCCCTGTGTGATTTACTGTTTCACTGTTTGGGTTCTCTGAAATGTATTTTCATTAAATAAAATTAAACAACTACATAAAACTGGTCTGATTCTGATCCTGGTTCCATCTGAGACCTGCCAGACTTCCCTATGAATGAGAAGGATGCTGTTTTTAATCGAGTGTTTGTTTGCATCGTACCAGACAAAACTCATCTTAAACGCATGTCCTGCAGATGCGAGTCTAGCATCAGACATTTAGGGGTGCTGAGCACCCAAAGAGCTGTCAGGCAAGATACATTTAAATATTTTGTACATTTTTACGCTGTTTCATTCTAACATTTGTGAAAGAGAAGAAAATCATTTTTGTCACAAATCAAAGTGTAGTTTTACATATCACATCTATGAATCTGGTCCAAGTTTGAAGAGTCTAGATCAGTGGTTCCCAGCCTTTTTTTCTAGGAGGACCCCCTTTGCTCGTGTCCAAGACAAGCCAGCCTCCCACCTCCACCCCGACCAACCCCTTGTCATGAGCCGGGGTGAGTACTCCTCTCAATATTCCACCTTTGAGTTGTGTGTTGCAGGAGAGGGAGGTTCCCGGCTGCACCTGGTTTGCAATCAGTTGGCCCGGCTACTTAAGGAGGATGGAGAACACACCTTGACGCTGGATGATTACTACAGTAGTTTCCAGCCGTTCTTGTGATTTTTGGATTCTCTAGTGTTTTTGGACTTCTGTGAACGTTTGGATTTTGTGATTACCTTCCTCAAGGTTTTTGGAACGTCTCTGGATTCAGCGATGCCTCAGGATTACTCACCCGTGCCCCATAGGACTTCTGGACGCAGCTCTGTACCGTTCTCCATTCCTCCTGACCGAACCGCTCTCCTGCTCACCTCACACTCCCTCTCCTGGACCCCCTCACTTGGATCACCCCAGCTCTCAACCTGCCCTCCCTCTTTCCTGCACTTCCCCAACTCCCTGTAAGTATTTTCTCTGCACCCAACAAGTTAAGGCTTACCTCCCCGGACTCGCCTGTATTTGCCCTCCCCTCCTCAGACGCTGCGCTCCAGTTTCTCGATCCCCACTGGATTTTCCAGTGCGCCTTCTGTTCCCGTTTAAAAAATATTTTTCTCCATTTTGTGAATTGGTTGTGATTCTGTGCATATCTTGGGTTAGACGTATTCCCCAGATCATGTCACCGCTACCTTCATAAATACACAAGATTGATTACAAACATTATGCAGACATGCAGAGCTATAACAAAGTGTTTTGGTTATTTTATTGGGTGTGTTATTTGGATTTTATAAATGCAGATTTTACAAATATAATCTTGGTAATCTCACAGTCTCAGTACAAACGATATTGTGGGGATCCCCCAGTTGGTCATGGACCCCAGCTTGCTAACCACTGGTCCAGGTGTTGTAGCTTTATACCAGGATCAGAAGAAAGATGCTCAGTGAGAGGAAACGTTGGTTGGAATTATCCTAACAGTAAACAGAAGTTGGAATAAACTCCAGCGTTGTCTGAATTTCCATAACAGGATGCTAAAAAGACCAGTAATTTTAGATGAATTAATGTTTACTTCATTTTCCACTAATAGCAACATCCCATTGGAAAAAAATCCCAAGTCGCTTTTTTCTTTTAAAACCTTTTAATAGAAAAATGATTTTTCAGAAATGACAAATCTTACTTACGTAATTAAGGAGAGATAAAACAAATCTCTGATTTTAATCTCTGAAAAGTCCAATTGAATCTTAATGTTCTGATTTGTTAGAAGTCTCAGAATAAGTCATCAAGGCTTTAATTCAGTCTTTATCCTAACCGTATTTAATCCACTGCGCTCATATCTCTATCCTCAGTGCAAACTGTTTCCTTTTGATTTGGTGATTGGTGTGTGTGTGCTCCAGACCGGCGGTGAAGTCCCACCTCCTAGTTTGACATTGGCAAACTGGGAGGTGGGACTTAATGTGGCGAAAGCAGTAGCGGTCAAACTGACAGCCACTGCTTTCGCCACATAATCTGTTTATAGAACATTAAACACAAAATGGGAGACAGGATTATTTTAATCTGTTATCAACCAGATTAAATCAGCTAGCTATGAAATACACTAGATATTCTCTTCTAAGTAACTAAAGACTGAAAGTGAAGTACTAGGGTTTAGACACTGGAGGCAGAAACTCCCCATCTTTCCTTCTCTAAATGATGTTGGAAACCAAAGTGTTATTTTTATTACCAGAGGAAGGCGCAAATTCCTCATAAGGCAACAAAAGTGCTTGAAAGAAATTAGAGCATGTGTTTCTCTTAAGCAAGTCTTGTGAAAATCTTTTTAGACAAAGAACAAACGGTACAAAAGAACTGCGATTCTTTTCGGTACTTAAGAACAACCCCAAACAGTCCAGATAAATAATTAAATAAATCTCTAACTTTAAGGGTGCTGGGATTCAAGCTTAAAAGTGCTTCAGCATCGCCAAAAGCAGGCTAGAAACACCTTCTCGAAGGATTGCGAACTTTAGATCCTCTCCTGCTCTCTAGCTTACCATTACCTGCCTGGACTGAGGCGTGATCGTGTTTCCTGGACCTCTGCAATCTCTGGTCCACCACTACATATCATCAATCAACTCAGAATAAAATCAAAATGCACTGCTCCGAATGCCTTTATGATTCTGCTCTTGTCTGTTTAATTGGAAAGAGAAAAGTATATATTTCACTAAGTGACTAAAGAGGTGTCATAAAAAGTTAGAATAGATCAGATTAAAGTGGTGCTGCAGACTGGGGAGGCGGGGGTGGTTACCAAAACCCAGGAGTTTCTGTTCTCTCCACTAATGATGTGAGCTCATTCAGCCCCACCTAAGAACAAAACACTGAGTGGGACTTCATTAGCTGGGCCCAGAACCAGAGCCCGTCCCAGAGAGACCAGGTTACATCATCAAGTAAAAGGAAACATGACCCAGAAACTTAGGCTCGAGTTCCATCTAACCAGTGGATGTAAACATCCTGCAGCTGTTCCTCTGTCTCTAGTGGTGGCTGGTTGGATGTGCATGTTCTCTCATGCACAACTTAAACACAGATGTGTCCTTTACTCTATGACCTGAAGACGTCCTGCTGAAATCCTAACATTAAGTCTTGATAAGAGAAAGTGAATGCATCTGAACATTTAAATAATCAAAGGTAATCGTTTCATTTATCAGTTGACATTTAAAAAAGCAATCTAAAATTCTCACAGAAGCCACAGTTTTGGAAAATTGAGCACCAATAATGAATTTAAATGATAAATGACCCGCACTTGTATAGCGCCTCTCAGAGTAAGGACTCCAAAGCGCTTTACACTACAGTGTATCATTCACCCATTCACACACACATTCACACACTGATGGTGATGAGCTGCGATGTAGCTACAGCTGCCCTGGGGTGCACTGACAGAGGTGAGGCTGCCGAGCACAGGCGCCACCCGACCCTCCGACCACCACCAGCAGGCAAGGGGGGTTAACTGTCTTGCCCAAGGACACAACAGCAGAATTCTCTGTCCGGAGCCGGGATCGAACCTGCAACCTTCCGATTACTGGACAACCCGCTCAACCTGTTGAGCTACTGCTGCCCAACTAAAGGGAACATAATATTTAAAACTCACCTTTTGCATCATTTTGTACTGCCATGTGTGTATATACTGCCTCTATAAACACTCCTAATGCAAATGAATCATCCATCCCTTTTGTTAGTGTTTGGTTTCAGGAATTATGCGCCTAAAACAAGCTCCTTGCTTGTGATGCCACAAACAGGGAAAGTAGAATATAAACAACTCTCACAGGCGAGAGAGAACCAATGATGGAGGAGCAGTGGCTCTACTCTGATGCTCTCCCGGACATCTGAGCTTCTCATCTTGTATTAGGGATGCAACGATACCACTTTTCCAAACCGATACGATATTGATACTTGGATCTCAGTACTCGCCATTACCGATACTTCTACCACACAAAAAAATGCTATGAAATTGAAAACCGGTTTTATTTTCTTCTCTGCTTTCAACAGGAAAAGACTGGGGTAGATAAAAAGAGAAATACATGAACAGAAATCATCACTAGACAAAAATATTAGGTGAACAGAAATGACAAGTTACAGTGATGCCACTTTCAAGCAACTGCATTGGTATCGGTTAAATTTTATTGATACCAATACTGGTATCGGTATCTGTGCATCCCCAATATTTATATCTATATATACAATTAGATTATATGTATTTAGCTTTCACTAAACCTCAGTTTGTTATCAATGGTAAAGATAGTTATAAAAATCTCTTTTAAAATAAATAAACCCTTAGAAAGCCTACAGCAGACGGTTCTACTCAGTTTTTGTCCTCTCTGTAAACTGGAGGTCGTTACACGTGTGACCCTTCGGCCAATGAGATCTGCTCGTTTTCATCTTTCACCTTACAAGTTAAAAAAGAAACAAGTCAAAGTTTCGTGTGTCTGAAGGATGAGGGACATTTGTCTTCATATGTCTTCCCTATCTATCACTGCTCTGCTGTCTGCATGTCCTCTGGGACAGTCACACCCCAGAGGGGAACTGTCCCAACACATCCTGACAAGATCAAGGGGTTTCTGGAGGGGTGGTCAGTGCCCCCCAGGTTCCCCCTCTGGACCCACCCCTGGACAGGGTGAGAATAAAAACAGCATTTGGAACACGCCCCCACTCTGAAGTCTGTTCCCCTCTCAGACCAGGCAGCACAGCCTTTAGTTGCTGTGGTAACGTCCAGATTAGCCGACCTGAGAGGAAACTGTGAAGTCAGTCAGTGTAATGTCAACAGTTTGTCTCTGTCCACGTGGGAAAACAAAGTGTTTTCATGTCAGAAGAGATTCTACAGCATTCCAGCTATTCACAGAAAACATCAGCAGAAGCACTCTAATTTCATCTCGGTATTGTTACTTTTATGGTCATTTTACCCTGTTCTGTCAGCCTTTTGCAATATTTAATGTCGTTTTTTTCCCCCAACGGAATTATTTTTATCCTTTTGCAACAAAGTGAATTTCTCTGCTGAGACAAATAGAGTTGACTTGCTTTCTTATTCTTCTTCATTTGGATCCAAACTGGGTTTTCTCCAGTTCTACTAAAATTAAAAACACCAGATAATTAAAATGGAGAAATCGAAGACAAATAGTTTTTTTTACATCGATAGTAAATCACATGTGGAAAAGCAAGCTGTAGGTTACAATAACAGCTTATTGCCTGTGTATATTTACCTGAATTGTTATCATTTTTCTTCTTTCTTCTCTCTAAGTATTGGTGCTGCTGTAGCAAGTGAATTTCCCCACTGTGGGATCAATAAAGTCTATTCTATTCTATATTGTAGGTAATAATGACCGTGACGGTGGTGCAGGAGTTAAGTGCTCGCCCCGTAATCGGAAGGTTGCAGGTTCGAGCCCTGCTCAGCCTGTCGCTGTCATTGTGTCCTTGGGCAAGACACTTAACCCACGTTGCCTGCTGGTGGTGGTCGGAGGGACCGGTGGCGCCAGTGCTCAGCAGCCTCGCCTCTGTCAGTGAGCCCCAGGGCAGCTGTGGCTACATCGTAGCTCATCACCACCAATGTGTGAATGTGTGTGTGAATGGGTGAATGACTTATTGTGTTGTAAAGTGCCTTGAGGGGTTCCAGGACTCTAGAAGGCGCTATATCAAATACAGGCCATTTACCATTTTACCTAGAGTGCCACCTGCTGGAAGAGGAGGTGTAGTACAACCAATAACTTAATTTAAACAAATCAACAGGAGTTTCACTCACCCAGGTCACTGTGGAGACAGACTGTCTCCTCTCTAAACACTTCAGTTAAACAGATACATTAGTTAATTACTGAGATGATTAACTGCAATCAATTATTTAACTAAACTAACTCATCGTTTCACCAATCTAAAGTTTAAGGTAACAAAACAAATTATATTCTGGTACATGCTTGGTTCTAATGAGGTATGTACGCCACTACATATGTACTCTATTACCAGGCAAAAGAACAGGATAAAAGAACAGGATGAAAAGTAAATCATAATAAAGACCTGTCTGCACAGGTACTTGTACTTACCCAGTACAGATACCCATACCCCAGTTACCCAGGTCGTAGCAAGTATTCCTGTACTGGGCAGTATGTACCCAAATACCTTATCTGATGACTACATTAGTCTGAGTTATGAGTTAACTACTGATAGCATCTCCACACTAAAAACAAAGTGAGTCAGTCATTTGTGATTTTCAGTGATGATTATTATTAGCATTCAAATAAAAGTATCAGACAGAAGAAATCAAACCCAGATGTAAACAGCATCACGATGGTGGGTGTAGTCTGATAAATACAAACAGTAATAAGGGCCAGATCGTTGGCTGTTTACACAGAAACATCAGGGGTGCCATGAGTGACCTCTGACCCAACATGTCCGTTGGGGAGTTCTGATGTTTACAGAGTGTTACAGGAGGGAGGAGAGGGAGGCAGCGAGGGCGATCAAGCAAACAAACATCCGTAGCGACCAGCTCCTTCCCCTGTGGGGCAGCTAATCCTGTCTGTGTTAGAGTAACACACATCCAATGTAACAATTCACCTCTTTATTCCTGTCCTGTTGAGCGTTTCGGAACATTCCTCCTGTTTGCTCATGGGCACAGAACGAGAACCTCAGCCTCCGCTCTAAGAACAACGGTTATGTCAGGTTAAGAATTCCTACAAGGAGGCCTGGATCCACGGTCCGGCTCTGAAGGCCGCTGTCCTTCATCTTTATCTCTGTAGCCCAGAGAGGAAAAGTCTCGGTCCGAGTGAGGAGTGGGTTCTACTGCTCGGTGGGACACATGCTCCGGTCTTTACAGCAGAAATAATGAACCACCACACCGTTGGGATACCTAGCAAACGCACTGAAACAGAGGATAAGATAATAACATCAGATTATTAATCACTTGGTCTGAAAACATCTGCAGAAACATGGTTTCCCTCACATGCCCCTACCTGTTTCCTATTTTCTTCTTACAGACTCTGCAGGTCTTTTCTTCTGTAATGACACATTTAACCTGCTGGTGGAAGATCCGTTCCTCCTGCACCTGGAAACAAAACAAAGCATCTTAAACCCCTGCAGCAAAAAGCCCTCCAACCTCCAAAAATCTGTTTCATGAGAACGTTATTTATGGAGAACTTCTTTTATTATTCCACGTGCCTAGAACCTGTGGCTCCGGGCCACAAGGGGCTTTTTAAAACTTCAAGATGCAAAAATAAACCCTTATTAAATAAAAAACATCAGATTCTAATGAGATATTAAAATAAAGAATCTCTTTAGAGAGGTCCAGGACTCACTCTTAGGAACTCGGCCTGCAGCAGACTCTTCAGAACCTGGTTGCAGCGTTTCCTCTGAGCCTTCTGCTCCAGGACGCTCTCCAGGAAGACCCGGATCTCTTGGATCTGAGTGTTGGCTGGAAGCAGGTTGATGGCCTGAAACAAACATATACATTTATACGGACAGGTCAGTGAGCCGAGGGGAAGAGGTCTGCTGCAGGCTTCCAGATTTAACTCTAGTTAAAGTTTTATTGTCTCCTAATCAACAAAGTCCCACACTGGTGAAATTACACGCAGCAGTGGATGCGCTCGGGAACTATTTGGTGGTTTATAAAAACGGAAAAGCAAGATCAGAAGAACAGCGCTAGCATTAGCATCGCTTTAGCCTCACAGAAAACCTCAGCAGGAGAGACTTGAGTTTATTAAAGGCGTTGTAGCTGGATGAGCAGAATAAGATGTTCTGATTTTAATACATGGACACTTGTCCAAATGAAGAGGACTGTCTGAGGAAAGTGAGACTAAAATGCACCTTGGTGGTGTTGAGCTTGCTGTGGTGGAGCTCCAGGACCTGCAGGGCGGCCTGAAGGTTGGCCTGAGGCTCTGAGAGCTCCATCTTGATGGGTCCCAGGCAGTGGGCATCAGGAGGCGACAGGTACATCCGTAGGAGTGACAGGTACACCTGGAGGGCACATGCCAGCAATCATTTTACAGAAAATGTCAAGGATGTAATCACAGAAACGTCTAGAAGGATCCAACCTAAAACCAGGCAGGATCTCAGAAAAATATTAACAAGTTGAACAAATACAGAGTATTTCTAATCAATCCCAGTTTTACAATAATTAAAAAACAACAATAAAACATATTTAGACAAAATAATACTCACATCCTTACTTCCTTCAACTGAGCTGTTATAATGTCGGTGACAGTATCTGCCACACACACACACACACACACACACACACACACACACACACACACACACGCGCGCGTCAGTAACAAATCTCCATGACAGCAAGTGTTTGATGACATCAGGTGAACTCACTCCTCAGCCATGTGTGTGTCTTTCAGGACGTGGACGTAGATGAAGAGCGCCTGCTCGTGTTTACCCATACGACCCAGAAGGAGAGCTCGTTCCTCCAGCAACCCTGGAAGGTCAAAGGTCAACACCGTAAACTGAAAACAGAAACAACTTACTCCTCCAGTCATTTCCTCTACCTCAGCTGCAAACAGTTTTTATAAAACAACTTTATTTTTCTCTTAATTGTTCTGGTTCCTGCTCAAACTCTTCTGCAGCAGGGAGGCGTTAGGCTTGGTGTCCCAGTGCATTCTGGGACTAGTAGTTTTAGTACTGCAGGCTGGTTGTAATATAGAAGACTTCATGGCCCACAGATAGCTGTTATGTGGGTCAGACTTGTCCCACATGCCTAGAGTTTGACTTATGTTGTGGAGGACATCATTCTTGAGTCCACATGCCTCCAGGGCTTGCACCAGACCTTCATGCATGTCCTCCTGTAGTCCGTTTACATCCCTGAGATCAGCTGTAGGACAGAAGCTTTTCTCTGGAGCTCACAGTGAGCAAACGCCTGAAACAAAAAGTCACTTCCTACCATCAAATGGAAAATCACTGATGAGTCTGGAAGGTTCATAGCTGCAGGAGATATCCAGGAACGACAGCAGCTTGTTTCTGAACTCTCCCAGTTCTCCATTCTCTTGACCTGCAGGAACAGCAGGAACCCCTGAAACACCAGAAAGTATCAGTTAGTTACAGCTGAAGTCATTTATTAGTCACACACTCTTCATCTCGTCAACACACAAAGAACCTCAGGAATCATTCATCTGATTTTCAGTGACAGCAAAGTGAAGCTTTACAGGAACTTAAAGCATCCTGAAGGCGAATCCACGAGAATTATCGGGCGTTTACCACCCACTGGTCTTGTAGAGGCGTTTCAACATCAGCGATCAGCATCTGAATTTTACTAAAACATTTTGAACGGTAAACAGACCTGTACAGATCAGCAACACTGGATTATAATCCGCAGCATGAAGTCAAGAGGATTTTATCACCATTTCCCTCCAAACTAAAGAATCACTAAAGTTTCCAAAGCCAAATGTGTGAAGCTGAGGGTATGTTAATGAGGGCCGCATTCCATTTTGAGGAAGCATTTTACAGCTCAACCAGCATGCAGCCCTCGTTAACAACATGTCTACCCAGAAACAGGTTCACCAGTGATCTCCGTATCCACCAGGTTAGTTTAAAAACAAACAACAATCACCTGGATTCAAAGAGCTTCTGCTTCCACCTGAGAACGTGTCTGCGGCACGCACCTTCTGGTAGAGAGTTGAGGTACTGCTTCATGAGCCGCTGCACCCTGCCCAGGTACAGCTGAATCAGCACGTTGTGGAATTCTGGGCCCTTCTCATCCCACACGTAGATGATGTGCTCCAGATACGGGATGGCCAGCTCCTCGAAGCCCTCCTTCAGGAACTGCAGCACCTTGTCTCTGGGCAAAGTCTCCACCTCGGTCAGATCTTCAGTGAAGATCTAGAGAATAAATGAATAATTTTAGGATATTAGGAGTAAAAAAAAAAAAAAACACACACACACACACACACACACACAACTTCTTTTCCCACCTTCAAGCCATCTTCAGGACACATCTTTAAGACCCAGGGAGAAAACTCAAAGATGATTCCCAGATTCTCCGCTCCTGTTGGAGTGAAAAAGGTTTAGAAGGTCAAGAGTTCACCTGAGTTCATCAAAGTTCCCACGAGTGTCTGACTGCTCACCCAGCCTCTGCAGGTACTGAACAGTTCGCTCATGACCCTTCAGAGGAGAGTTGGCCTTGGTGGACTGGTCCAGCAGAACCTGCAGAGCTGTGACACAAGAGGAGGATTAAAACTTGCACGACTGAATGCAGCAGATGCAGAATTAATTAACAGCTGGTTTGAATCAGCAGCTGGGGACGGAGGAGGATCGGAGCAGCAGGATGATCTGATCGGATTAACAGGGATCAGCAGCAGGAAGGAAAGCTCATGGAAGTTCTGCATAAAGGAACACTTAGGCTGGATCTAGAACCAGGAGATTTGTCCCAAACAGCTGTTTCATGATAACTCCTCCTCAAGAGAAGAAACATGTTTTCCTATAATAATCTAAACAAACAGGATAAATATGTCTGAGGGGTGTTTAAAACGCTCCAATCAATAATAATGATCTGCAGCTGATGAACTTCAACCGAACAGGAGAATAGCTTAAACCTAAATCTGTCTGACGATGATGGAGTCCTGGTAACACTTCCTCTTGCTCCGCATCACACGCAGACATAAAAGATGTTATCAAGGAAAAGGCTAGAGGTCTGGTGCAGATACAACTCTGTCATGACCTTGTAAACTGATCTGAGATCTGTGTTACGGGCATTCCAGCCCTCAGTCACGGCCCGGTCAGCAGCAGTGTGAGCTCACCTTTCTGGTGAAGGCCCTTCTTCTCATACAGAATAATCAGCTCGCTGTACTTGTGGGCTTTCTTCAGAACGTACTCGCTCTCCTCGATGTGGCAGTGGTTGTTCTCCAAACGCAGGAGGGGGGAGACCAGGGCCACGTTGGTCTGAGGGAGGAGAAACATGACATCACCGTGGGTTTAGATGCATCATTCATGCCAAAACTTCCTGCTTTCCACCTGACGGGTGGGCTAACATCCAGAGGAGGTGGTAGAAACAGACAGGCGGTAGGAGCCATCGACTGAAATCAGGATATTTGTTAGGAAAAGAGTTTTCTCCAAACCTTTGGACCCGGAAAAGTTTATTCTTATGACCAAAAGGGGAGCGCACTTTTTATAAATTCCTCAGAGTCCGTCTGCAGGGAGCTGCTTCTTACCAACATCTACTGAGTTCAAGTAGGACAAAGCATCAGAGCGTTGGACTCACGTGCAGGTAACATTTCAGCAGAGTGGTATCGATGATCTGCAGAAGCTTCCGGCGACTTTTGATGGTGGGCGTTCCCTCCATAAGAGGAGATGTGGTGGACGGGTCGGAGTCATTGAGCTGTTTGACAAGGTGGCTGCGTTTCTGGGAGGACACGAAGAAATCCTCGAGTCACGTGATTGGTGAGTTTACGCGCGTGCGCACGCACACACACACACGCCTACCTGTGTGAGGTAATCGATGAGAGCGAGGTGAGCCCTCTCAAGTTCGGCCCCCGACAGCGTGGGGAGCGGGTTGGGGTAGTGCAGCTGTTTACGGTAGTCTGAAGGGAGTAGGTCTGGGTAAAGGCCGATCACATGTGTGGGATCTGACAATCACAGAAGCACAGCACCCTCTGTACATGATCCAAAACACAAACGAAGCCTTTCCATCACCGCTGAATAAACTCAGACTGACACAAGGTGTGTTTACGGCTCTCTGTTCCTTATAAAAGCTGAAGGTTTTTGTTGTTTACTCAGATTCATGTGGACTTTAGACCCATTTGTCCAACAGATGCAGATACGTGCTGTCCTACCTGTACCGAGTTTTGCAAACCCCTGCATGGAGTCATCAAATTTCTTCTGGCAAAACAGATTAAAGGCATAGAGATTCTGGATGTGATGAATCTGCTGCTTCTTATCGCCGTCTGAATCATCCTTCATCTTCTAGCAACAAAGGAAACAAGCATGAAAACCATCTGAGAACACGTGAAAGGAGATTAGCTGAATGAGACGTGGGGACCTGCTGCTCACCGCCAGCTGGAGAGCCAGCTCAAACTGCTTGTCCTGAAGAAGCTGTCGGATCTGGGTGGCTATCGATACCGGCACCAGGCGCCACACAAAGTGGTTACTGGCTATGTACACAATATCAGACCTGCAGGGAAGCACACAGGTTCAGATTGGACAGGATGCAACCCTGGGGAAGGACCAGCAACATCATCAGCTTTAACACGAGAAGAGGAAACCTGGAGGGACGTCAAACGGATTAACACAACCCAACACAACACCTACACACATGCTGATCGTCCCATTCTGTGTCCTTGTTCTGATCTCACCCTGCTGAGGTGATGAAGCGTGGTCTCTGCAGCTCCACGCTCTGCACCAGCAGCCTCGGCTCAATGGTCCGGATCTCCACGTACCGAGGAAGAACTGCAATGATGTAGGGAGGCTGGTGCTCTGAGAACATACGAGGAGACGGGTCATCTTCATGTTCTGACATCAGACATGGTTCAGCAACATGAGGCTAGGGTTGGTTTAGATCAGAGGTTCTGACCCACTTTATCTAACTACTGGTCGTTTTAATGCGTCTCAAAGTTATCGATGGACCAGAGAAAACCCAGCTGTTAGTTTAATGGTCACATGACCATGATCTCCACCTCTGTGTATGGGTGCTTTAGGTTTCGTTTACATTCTCTCACCCATGGCGATGGGTATATCTGTCCAGTTCAGGGCACACTTCTGGGTACAAACTCCTTCTTCATTAAGAACCACGGTGAGGTCATCCTGCCCAACAGCGACCTTCCCATCAGCCAGTGGGGTAACCAGAGGCTCCAGCTGCTTCCCAGTGGGAAAGAGCTCTTTGATGGAGCCGCGACCGTCCATCTGGTGGGTAGGAGACAAGAAGGTTAATAATAACAGAGGTATAAAGTATCGTGTGTTTCACACACTAGTAAAAGTTAGTTACCACTGACCCGGATCAGGTAATAGTCTCGTTTGAAACCAACACAAATGGAGTTTTCACACCAGGCCATGGACCTCGGGATATCTGGGACACCCAGGTCGCTCTGAGAGACAGAAAGAAAACTTTAAGTTGGCTAATTATGTCAAGAGATCAGAGAAAACAGCTGAAGCTGCGTCCGGCTGCAGGGACTTTGTTTACCTGCAACTCGTGGAACTCTCGATCCTTCCAGTAATACAGCTGCAGTTTCTTCTTCACAGCCACACACATCCTGAGCCTCTCCTCTCCTGGACTGGTCTGCTGGCAAAACCCCAAACATCAGCCCACCTCTAATCACCATTGTACTGGTAAAAACTAGGGATGCACCGATCAGGTTTTTCGCTGCCGATCACCGATACCGATATCAAAGAATGCTGATCACCGATACCGATCACGTGGATTGGCCAGAAATTTTCTACAACATTATAATGGGTGCTACAAACTACATAATCTGGGAATAAAGGAAATGTAACCTAATCTAAAATGGTCTGATCGGTCTGCTTTGATCTATTTTGAAAACTCCGATCAAAACCGATAGGGGCGCTATCAGCCGATTGGGATCAAATGCCGATCCATCGGTGCATCCCTAGTAAAAACCTCTGCAAACCGCCACCACATACGTTTGCTTTCAATTTTCTGCTATAATGTTAAAAAAAATGCTGTTTTTAGACAATAAATGTTCAAAATGAGCTTTGGGAATGTCACCATTTAACAAAGACAAGTAAGTGGTCTGACCTCTAACGAGGGAGGGTTTTCTGCCTGCTTCCAGCTTTTCTCAGTTACCATTTAATATGATTTCATTTCATTCCTTTGTAAATGCTGACTGTGTTTTAGCGTTTAGAATCAATAATATTCACCTTATTCTAATAAAAAGGCAAACATTGATGCACGTTTTTGACGTTTAATCATAATCAGAGGTTAAGCATGTTGATTAGCTTCAGAACGTAACTAGCTAGCGATGCTCCGTCAACAGTTAAACATTTTAAAGGCTGAAAATTGGACATTTTGAAACATTTTCCCCTTAAGGCTGGGAATATACTTGATTTTTAACCTCTCAATGATGCAGGCAGCAGGCGGCTGCTGTACTGCACGCAGTACTGGAGGATTCCACTAGGGGGCAAAGTACGGCGCCACAATAAATGGCGAAAGTTTCGTCATCGTAATGTCGGCATGCTCAATATGCATATCACAGAGAACAGAAATAAACACAATGAATATTCAGCTGAATGCACATAATGTATTTTGTCAATCAAACAGAAACATGAAGTTTATGACAAAGCACCCATTTGGCCAATCGGGTGGGTTCTTATAGGTTAGATGTGATATTTCAGCGTTTCGATACTGTATTCACATTTAAAATCACTGTATTGATTTTTTATTAAGACTGTTGGTGGCAGTAGTCTTTACTACCTTCATTCTAACAGAACGAGATTTAGCGATAACGCTGGATGAATTTCAATACATCTGCAGTGGTCTCTTGTACACATGAATGCCACGTGTCAATCTCTGCAGAAAAAAACTCTGGCGCTCATGTTTCAGGAACTAGAATGAGCCTGAGCAGAGGTGTGCAGAAGACGGCAGGATCTGGAGTCCTATTTCCTGATATTCAAACAGCTCGCCTCTGATTGGATAACAGCAACACGACCCTACCACTGACTCAGTTTGATCTGCAAAGTTGTTGTTTTAGCTCTACAAATACCACCAGCCTGAAGGGGTTCTGCCGTGTTGTGGAGTTGCTAATGCTAACAGTTAGCTTCCATTTGCCGAAACGCACTTTGCTCTCTCCTGGATGCTAAATCAACAACAGCCTTCCCGTTAAGAGCCAAGATGGGTGAGTCCGTGAATGCTAATTTTACAATGTGACGCACAACTGACTGGCTTCTCTAGTCCGGACATTTCCCCATCGATTTTCTACGAGCAGCTAATGCAAGAAATGAAAGCAGAAGACCATTTTTTTCTGTTTAGCCTGCATGTGAAACACAGAGTAACCAAACATATCTCGAAAACGGTTTCTCAGTGAACTTGGTCTTTAAAATCTGATGTGAAGACGGTCAAAACCTGGATTATATGAAAACTGTTTGATATCATAAGTGGTTTCTGTTGGGCTTCGTTATTCTTCTGATATTCTGACCAGAATGTGTCGCACACATCATAAAGCAGAATATGCTCCCCTTAAACACATCCACAAGAGAGAAAATGTTTAGGGGGTGTTTGTTTTTGTTTCCTGCCACAAGCAGAAGCGTTGTGGTGACAGTAACTCACCTGCAGGTCACACTCAAACAGAGTGGCTCCTTTGGCTTTATTCACCACAGTGATCTGCTGAAAAGTCAGGAGGTCGTGGACATGGATGTTGTTCTCTGAAACAAAGGAGATTCTTGGATATGATTCATGATAGAATAAATAAATCACACACTGCATGTATCAAAACACAACTTTGAAATAAAAGATCCCAGAGAGGATTTGGTGATTAACTTTAAATCCAAATGTAAAAATGTACAATCGTAGTTAAAACTCACCAAGAAGGCTGACCAGAATTTTGTACTGTGAGACGACATAAAGCTGGAGAAAAAGTTAGGACACTAAATTGAAATGGTGCAGCAATTTGGTGCAAATTTACAGTCAAACGTTTATCTTGAGAGCAAAAACAAATTATGATTTTTCTATTTATAAAAAAAGTTTGATACAATATGTTTACTATCCAAACGGAAGTACATGTAAAGGCAACTTTACAAATCCTGTCCTACCTGCTGAATCTTCTTTGAAAAGTTCTTGTTGGACTTTTCTAAAGTCACTTCAAACCGGTTGGAGCCTGATGAGATATTAAGGAATTGTTTAAAGCTGGTTAGAGAGGACCGGAATGTCCGTCTGTACGCCCTGGGCTCTTCCTACCTGCATCCTTCTTTATTCTGTAGAGGAGGAGATGTCCTGGCTTAGTGCCGACCAGCAGCCAGTCCTCTGAGGAGACAAACACAGTCAGGAGGAGCTCCAGTGGACTAACACATCTGCTCAACCACAGGTGTTAGACTCACCCCAGCCAGCGAGGCAGTCGATCTGAAGAGGAAGCTTTTCTAAAATAGGCACCGACTCATAGGCGTCGTGCATCTTGAAGCCACTCTTGTGGATTCAATTACCAACAGATCATTCACAACCTTTCCCCCCCAACGATCACTTCGGAGTGTCTGTGTTAAATAAATAATGTTGTAAAACTGCTCTGGAGTATCCTGTCTCGTCGCATTTGTGGTGTTATACAGTTGGGCTCGTCAAGACAGCTTCCTCCAACCAAAACAACAGCTGATCGTTACTGTTAGCTTAAAGTTAGCAGCGAACGGACACCGTTCTGACACTAAATCAGCGCTGAAGCAGACATTCTCTTATCGATACGATCTAACATGAGTGCAGCTGGCTCGTTAGCCTAATTATTAACAAATAACAACAATAACACTTTACTTTTAGTCAGATTGTTGTTGCTTTGTCGCCACTTCCTCAGATGCGTGGACAGCGCGTGCGCAGAATGGTGGCCTTTGACAGTAACGTGACCTGCGTGGTCACGAGGAAGGTCTTAAAGGTGCAACATTGAAATTTGTTACTGCGGTTAAACTGCGCAGCGCAGTTTTCACCGAAATAAACAATAAAGTACAGTTTAAACAATAATTTTGTTCTGAAAGATTTGTAGATTTCAACATTATGACAAATATGAGTGTTGAGAAGCTAGTTAAATAAAGCTATAAAAGCTACAATCATGGTTCAAGCTTTATTTCCTAAAGGTGTGGTTGACTGAAAAAACACTTTTTAAATGTTATTTCTGATTTAACATGGTCACTCTGAGTTTTCCATGCAGGCTGAACATGAAAACAGTCTTCTATCCACTTATCTGAGACATGTTCTCATGTAACGCAAGAGATGGGCTATCTCGCAATAGCTAATGCTAGGATTTGAAAACACTCACATATCTATGTCCCACTGTAAATTTGCATTCATGGCCTCACCCATCTTGACTCACATGTGCCCACAGGGAGGCTTTAAAAAATTGCAGCAAGGAGAGGGTGGGGTGTCTTGAAGATAGTGACTGCAACATGGCTGAACTTGTTCAGTTCAATTCAAAAATACTTTATTAATCCCAGAGAGAAATTGATTGCTGCTCAGAATAATAATAATAATCAAGTCATCAAAGAGTTATTGTATATCACAATGGCTGTTGGCAGGAAGGATCTCCAGTAGCGGTCAGTGTTGCAGCGAAACTGAAGAAGCCTCTGACTGAAGACACTCTTCCGTTGTCGGACAGTCTTGTGAAGAGAATGCTCAGGGTTGTCCATAATTTTCTTGATTCTCTGGAGAATCCTTCTTTGCATTATCTCCTCCAGCGGTTCCGAAACTGCCGAAACTCTGGCTGAGTCCTTGACAGGGCTTGGAGTTCCTCCATCTTGTTGGCCAGTGATCTCACATTGCCCATTATGATCGATGTAAGCAGAGGCGGTTTTACCAGTAGGCATAGGTCGGCGGCCGCCTGGGGCCCTCTTGTGTTGGGGGGCCCCCTAGCCCTGACCGCCAGCACCCCTCTGTTAATGCCGCAATATTCTTATTACCAACCTGTCACCGCAGACGGGATTGGACATGCTTCCCATTACCACAATTCCTAAACCGTTAAAGATATCATTAAAATTCCAAAAGTGCTGAAAAGATTAAAAATGAGGCTTTTCGTGCATATATGTCACAGAGTGGTAATGTTGCACTTACGTTATATTTTATATTGCATGTTTTACTTGTTTTTATTCTGATGTGCATGTTTTATTGATGGTGTGTTTTGTTGTTTGGTGTGTTAATCATCCCAATCGTCTTCACCTGCGGCGGAGTGTTGCCTGGACTGCAAATTAATGAACAGACGCAGGCAATACAGATTTTATTTAAAGGGAGGAACGCATGTACCAGGGGGACACAGAGAGAGAGAGCCAGGATGGCAGACAGAGCCAGCTAGGAGTAAGACACGCACCCCGGACGGTGTCTTGAGGACACATGTGCCTGAACCCCCCGCCGGAACAGAGGAGCACCCAGAGTACAGTTCTGGATGATGGATGGCGGCCAGGTTTTTGCTTTTTTCACTTTTAAGCAGATTTTTTAAAGGCTTTAATAGAAATAAATTCTAAATACAAACCATACACTGAAAGCTGAGGTTGTTCTGAAAAAAGGAGAAGAGTTACACACACTTTGCACTTTTTATTACAGTTTCACAGCCATAAGATTAAAAAATACCAGGCGACCCTGTTATAATTATGGTCATAAGAGGGTTATTAAGACGGTGATGCACAAACAGGAAGTGATTGGTAGTCATTCCACTCCAATCCAGTTGGATTCCACCAACTCCAGTTGGTGGCGGTAATGCACCAAATTGTTGTTTGCCAAGTGCCATAAGACCACAAATAAGAGAGGTGGGAAGAAGAAGAAAATATCATTTCTATAGCGCCTCTCAAGATAAAAATCATGAGGCGGGAGTGTTCGTTACAAACTCAAAGCGATAGTCAAAACATTAAGCACGAAATGGAGTTATCTTAGTGGCTCCAATAAGAGAAAGAAGCAGCATGCTCCATAAGTTTTTATTTTCACTTCTGAAAGTGACGTCGTTTTTCGATGTAAACATCAAAAGGAAGCAGAAAGGAAAGACAATGGAAAATGTTTAAAAGGAGGAAAAGATAGACCAAAATGGAAAATAGAAAAAAAAAGCTAAGGCTAAAGCACAGGATCACTGACAGGCAAAAGAAAGCAGAGCAAATATTAAAAGCGCTCAAAGGGAGGGAAATACAGGAAAAAATAGGAGGACTAATATAAAGGGAAAATAACTCATGTCAGAAGAGGGGAGAGTTTTGCAAATCCAGTTAAAGGTACGAGTGTCAAATTTAGTGTAAGGGGCCCTATGTCTGTGTTTGCCTTGGGCCCCCAAATTGCTAAATCCGCCCCTGGATGGAAGAGATGATTTGAATTTCCTCTTTCTGTCTCCGTTTTCCTCCCGCTCTGCACCCACGCTTCTTGTATTTTAGCTCATTTGGGATTTGTGGCTTCAGTTGAGGCATTATTTCAGCCTTTCCCATGTTAATTAGTTGCTCCCGATTGTAAATTAGCTTGTTGCCATGGTTACGCATCATAACAAATGCTCAACAAGTGAAAAAAGCTAAAAAAAAATAGCAGTAAAAATCCTCCAAGCTTCACAGCACCAGCTACAGAAAAGTAAAGTGTCCAAAAATATATTGTTTTTCTTGAGAAACTAGAAGAAAAAATGCCCAAGAAAAGGCAAAACTTACATATAGTCAACAGAGCTACTCCAACATGCAGCCACCCAGAGCAGCGCAGTTCCGAGAAAAAAAATTCATCATCAAAAATATCATAATGAGTAAGCTGGCTGTTTTCAGTCCACCTCTGCACCAGCAAATGTTTGCATTTCAGAACAAGAGCATCATAGCTTTAAAAAAAAGAGACTCATAAGGCATTGATTTGCACTAGAGAACACTGCTCATGTATTGAATAAAAGAGTAAACAACACCAACCAAAATTAACTTAATTCACTCAGAAACTCAATTTTCTGTTTATTATAAATTTGATTTGCAGAACATAAGCAAAAAGCCATACAATATCATCAGTTTCACAACACGAGGTAAACCAAACTCTGGAAGAGTTCAACATTTCTTTGATATTTAAATAATCATACCAAGACTACATAGAAAACAAATTAGGAATTTTGGAATACACACACACACATACAATTCAATAAGTATTGTCGTGCCAGATAAACAAAATTAAGTTTGCAGAGTGACCTGCAAAGGCTCAGAGAGGTGCTTTCTAAGTAAGGACCTACAGATACCTTGTAGAGAAAACAGAAGACATGCTGTGTGTCATATGTGGCTTTAGGCCCACTGATAATCCAGTAACTGCACAATAGATGTACCTAAAACACAGTACTATTGCAATTAGATACAGTCACCTTTAGCAATAGAAATAAACAAGGGGATTTGTGTTCATGTTTGAAAATGTGTCTGGAATTAGGTATTTTCCTTTTTCTTATTATTGGTCATCGGTTGAAAACAAGGAAGTCTTAAATTCTGCAGAAAGAAATCTTGTAAAATAGCTAATTTAAAAAGCAAATTTGAGTTACTTATATTAATCAGGACACCAGTGAATACCAAAAAGTCACCTAGATTATTTCTGTAAACAAAA